CCTCTGTCCACACATCCGTGTGCTCCCCGTGGAAGTGCATCAAAACGGAGTGAACCCACAGCTCACTGAGCTTTAGGAAGCAGTGGCATCTGCACGCTTGACAGTCACCTCTGTGCTGTCCATCACACCACCTAGTAGCCCGAGGGAGAGAGAACTGCGCTCTCCCGTGGTTACCTCTGAGAGCTGCCGAGAATCTGTCTGACATGTTGGCTTAGGTCAGTGTCCAATACCAAGAAAAGAGGTGCCCGGCTTGCGAGGGTGTTATAGGGTTCAAGTGAACATGAGGGCAGACAGGAGGGAAGGAAGCTTTGGAGAGTGACTTGGAGCACAAGGGCTAATGTGTGCATGGACTGATACCTCTCAGAGGTAACCACGGGAAAGCGCAGTTCTCTCTCCCTCGGGCTACTAGGTGGTGTGATCAACAGCAGAGGAGACTGTCGAGCGTGCGGAAATCGATGCCACTGCTTCCTAAAGCTCAGTGAGCTGTGGGTTCACTCCGTTTTGATGCACTTCATGGGGAGCACACGGATGTGTAGATTCTCTTTTACTTACTGATCTGTTTTCCCTCCCCAAAACCCAGATTCACAACTTTATGGAAGAAAGGGCTGGGGCAAATCCAAGTGATGAGAGAATTCATGAAAGCCCTTGCTAATATTACCCTCATGCAATAAAACAGCAGAGGCTCTCGGTGACATTTACATCCTTTCAGTAAGGGGTTCTGTCAAGTGCATTTCCACATCCCACCCTAGCACACTGTTTTTGCTTTGCTTCAGACACCATGGAGACCAAGAGGCACAATTTTTCCAAGCCTCATGCTCTATCCAGATGTTTAGTGTCTTGCAGATTTGCACTGGGAGTGCCTCTGTGACAACCCTGGTTTGCACTCCAGGACTCCATGTTGTCAGGTTCTTGAAAAGGCAGAGACACCCAGGTTATACACTAGAAACTATAAAAGGAGAGCAGGGGAAGTTGCCATCTGTAGCTGTGCCTGGGATGAATTAAGCTTTTCTTGCTTCCTAGCACCTCACTTCTCTATTCTCAGAGAGTCACACTTACTTTTGTGTCCTTCAACTTGGAGCAGCTTCCCAAGAAACACAAAAACGACCAGGTATTAACATGTAGGTTTCTGGGCTGGATCTAGATCTCCCGAAAGAGAAATCTATATATTTTAATAAGTTGGGCCTGAAGAGCCCACATTTTATTAGGTCAGGATGAGGTAATCTGGATTTGACTTTTTTTAAAATTGGAAATAGAATCAGAAGAACATATTCAACTGTGTGTGTAATTTAAATAGTGATGAAGCAAACTCATGTGTAAACATTAACCAGGTTAAAAAATATTGTTGGTGTCCCTGGAAGGCTCTCTTAAGAGCCTCACCCATTGCCTGTGTCTGTCACCACTCTACCACTACTTCCAAGTAAAAAGCACTCCTAACTTTTGAGATTGTCACTTGCCTGTCACTAAAGAATATTATAAATAATGCATCCTGGAACAGTATTATTATTGTTTTGCCTAATTAAAAATTGTAAAATGGAACCAAAACTTTGCACTATGGTGGTGGTATACTCGCTGTTGCTGCATTTGTTCCTTTTCATTGCTGTATAGTATTCCAAAATGTACAGTGTCTACAATTGAGCTAATCTACTATTCGTAGACATCTCTTCCAGTCCAGTTCTGGGATCAGTTTCACATGTTTTATTGTCAGGCTACTTCTGATCCTCATATAGCAGGTCATGAGTTGTTCAGTGATTGAAGTGGCCAACGTGGAGGTTAAACTGCCCAAGTTTACACCGTGCTTCTACCACCAGGGCTATCACTGTGTGAGCTTGGGCACACTGATCTGAGTATTGGTTTTCTCATCTGTAAAATGAGAATAATAGTTCCCATCTCAGTGTTTGGCAAATCTGTAAAATACATGTAAGGTACTTAAAACTGTGCTCAGCCCAAATACTTTCAGTTCAAGAACAGAGGTTGCCTTCAATTTTACATCATCATCTTTGGAGTTTCCATTTACCATGAATATGTTACTTTAAAAAAAAAAATCTTTGCAAAAAAAAAAAATCTTTGCCTCACAGCTTTTTACCTTCAGACTCAGGCCCTGGAATTCAACTGGGAAAACCAAGCCAGCCTCACTGCTGGAGGCTGTGCCGAGGCAGAGCTGAGTCTAGTCCTCGAGCTGCCTTGTGCAGCCAGGACTGGCCTGGCTATCTGACTTGTCAACATCCTTTACAAAAAGACACAGCCAGCCAATGAGGTAGGTGGACACCGATATGAGAGGACTGGGGGGGTTTATGACTCCCATCAGGTAATGCGGCCCTCTTTCCAGCCTTGTCACTATTACAGGGACTAGCCCATCTCTCTCTGGGCTCAGGTGTCCTCATCGGTAAAATGGGTGGTGAAGGGGCTGGGATATGAAGGGGCTGGGGTAAGAAGAGCTCCGAGACTTTTTCAGCGAATCCCCTGGTACTTGAGGCTTTGGGCTGAAACTGCTGAGGTGCGAGGGGAATGAGCTTGGGGGCTGTCCTTATTGCCCCAGGAGGGGACTGATCTGGCCCGTCAACCTGCCAGCCTGGATGCAGGCAAGCAGTTAGTGAGTCAGAGGCAAATAGTAGTGGATCTGTTCTTCACCAAGGTGAACCTTTTGGGATGGTTACATGCCTGTCCCTGACGTTCATGCCAACTAGTAACACCCCATTTGGACGACTTCCAGGGAGTCAGATAGCCAACTCTGCCTGCTCTAATTTTCATGACCTACGGTCACTCTGGCCCAAGCTCTGTGAAGAGGCCTTAGCTGAGCAGCCTCCCTTCCTTCCTCCTCCCTTATCTTCCCAGCTAGCTGTCATCTTCCTGGTGAGCTGAAAACTGAGGGCAAGGGCCAAGCAGTCAGTGGGGCCACAATTCACACTGGCCCAGGTCCAGCTTAGATAATCCATCCCATCACCCTCGACGCCCCCTCACTTCCTCTTGGGTGGACACATGAAGCATCTGGGCACTCAACAGCTGCCGCCTTCCACCCCGAGGAGGGTGGTGAGGTAATCCCCATACATAGTCTGACAAGTGCCTCAGGGTGAAAGGGGCTCTGTGTGGAGGAGAGTGTGTGACTGTATTTCTCTGGACTTCCAGGAGCATTTTGCTGATGTCCTGGCACCAAAGAGAAATGAAAAGTGAGCCTGGGTCTTCTCGCCTCCACAAAAGCATCTTTCATCCCACAATAGACTCTAGATTGGAAGGAAGATTTCATGATAGAGTGGCCAGACACAAGTGGCTCTGCTGAAGTCACCGACCACCCCACCCCCCTTCATTTCTGCGAACTCATACTGTGACCCAAAAAGCTCAGTAGATAGGCACGGGCAGGCTGACACCAGGAGTGCTGACATGCTTAAGGGTGGCAAAGTGCGCAATACACAGATTTGACTGGGGCTGGCTGTCACCTGAGTGGATGGGCATTCACTGATGCTGTATGACTGGCGATTCTCAAAGGCAAGGGGCAGCATCCGCGGGAAGGGCCGCTCTAGTCTGGTCGTTAGCAGGAAAAGAACAAAGTCGTCTTGACCGAGCCCACCTAAGTGTCAGACACTGGACAACTGTGAGGAGAAATGAAAAGTCCGTGTCAAAGGCGGTAGCATTGGAGCAACTTTCTCTCCGCCACCAGCTCCCCTTGCCCACCTCAGAGGTCTGGCTGTGCTTCTCCAGAGCACACGCCGAAGGATAAGGGGGCCAAACAGTGCTCCTGCCAGTTAGCCGGTACGAACGTCAATTAGCAATATGTGCTTTCACTTCTAATAATCAAAGTCAGAATGGTTGGTACCCATAATTCCAAGGTCATTCTTGTGGAAAAACCAAACCAAGATGGAGTGCCTGGGAGAGCACGTGCCTAAGATGACCCTTTTGTTGTTTTTTTGACATTCAATTGATTATGTAAATAATGCTTTTCAAAATTATTTTTATAATACAAGTGCACAAATAATACAAAAACCATTTTCTCCAGAGGAAATCATTGGCCTAGTTCCTTGCAGCCTTCAGGATCATCTAGGTACATGTACATTTGCTCTGCCCCGCCCCCAAACTGCTTTTCCCCCGTTAGTGTTACACACAAATGAGTTGCACCATATTTAGAGTTTAACTTTTGCAAGTGAATTGTGTGTACTGGGGTTATTCCACTAACCAAGGATATGCCCAGTAACTGTGAGGGGGGTGAGTGTGCAAATTTTCATTTTCCTCATGTGATTCTAGTGTTTAAAGAAATATTTTGCTATATGTCCCTAAATTCAAGGCAAGCCCCTCATCTGGAGGTCAGGTACGAACACCGTGATCTATACCAACCTGAGGAACACTAGATATGCTGGTTCCAAAGAGCATGTGGGGCCTCCTTGATGGCACAAGGGGTTAAGTCTCAGCACAGTGAAGCTATTGAAGCCATCCACAGCCAAGGCACCACAAGTTCCTTGCCCAGCCAGGGAGCTGACCCACAGGGCGCAGCAGACATCTCCTATCTCACCCACTGCTCCCCTCAGCACTGCATTTTGGTGGATTTCCTGTTCTACTCCCCACTCTGTTTCTGGTGAATCCTCTCACCCCCACCCCCTACATCTCTGGCCCTGGCCCACTCCCCAGTTCTTGTATGCATAAGTAAATAAATCTTTTTTTTTTAAAAAAAGCATACATAAAAAAAAAAGCACGCATGATTCCAATACCACACCTTCACAAGTGGTTAAGAGCAATACGACTTTTATGACATTTTGTCTGAAGTGTCACTTTGAGCCAAAATCTAATATGCTTCTTCTACTGGTGACATGCTGCTTAGGTTTTCCTCTACCTAATTTACCCTGAAGGCTGTTCCAATCAGTATACACAGAACTGTCCTGTTCTTTTAAGTTTTACTGCAAGCTATTTCACAGTATGAATGTTTGGGAAGGTCTTTGGAAAGAGTAGTATTTTCGTATGACAAAGAAAAGAGAAACATCATCGTTAAAAAAGTCACAAATTAAGAACAAATTTATAAACCAAGAATATACCATTTTATTCATTTCCAAATTATTACACAGCATTTACATACATTCAGATAATATATAAAACAAAGAACAAACCGTAGCTAGAAATATAGGTCTGAAACTGCCTTATGGGACATCTTTAATTCTGCAGTTCGGGGAATCTCTCCCCCCCGCGCTGGGGCAGGCAGCAGGATAAACCCCAGCATCCATGGACAAAGGATGGCTTATCCCTCACTGTACTTACACTGCAATTATGGCATTAGGGCATGGTCACCGGCGTCCACGACAAAGGACACCAAGTCATAGATAAAAGAACCATAGCACAGTGAACTAATATAAATATTTGGTTTTTGCATTGTCCTCCAGATAGTTTCTTTTTAAAACTAAGAGTCACATCCAGGATCTATCCCTTGAGTTGCACTCCAGTTATTGCTGGAAGGAAAAAAGCAAACAAACAAAAAACAGAAAAGAGGCATCAGTTTAAGTTATCAGAAAACAGATGGTCAGAGTCACCTACCTCTGTAACACTCAAGGGGACTGTCAGGCTGTAGGGAAAGGCAAATACGCCGGCAGCGGACATCATGAGCACGTCCCCAACCCAACGTGTCAGAAGGGCCCCACTGGCTGAGAGTTACTCTGGGGCTGCTAAAGAGGTTCGGGTGAAAGATCCTGTGATATTCTTCCAGGAAGGCCTGGGCAAGATGCAGCATGACGCCGCCCAGGAGAGGCAGAGAGCAGTAACAGAACCTTTCACAGGCTCACTGCTAGGCAGTGCTGACGTAGAAGACCTACGATCTCATGATGCAGAGGGAAGGTTTCGAAGTGCCCACTCTGAGCCACAGACAGAGGCTCGGCAGCTGAGCTCAGAAGAGCACACTCACCAGCAACAGAGCTTCCCCAGCTCACTGTCTGGCCTTCCTCTGAGGAAGGCCGGCTTACCTTTGCCTTGTTCTGAACTGGGAGATAAAGTTTGAACTCTGCTGGCAGTTCATCTTCTGAGTAGAGTCTGTCTGAGAAGTAAACCCGTCGGATACGGCAGTTTGCATGGATCTGTGGGTGCAAGATTTATTTTCAGACTTTAAACGTGATTACCCACTCTCTTTTCCCAATTCTCCTAGAGCCCTTCTCAATGTGCTATCAGCTACTCATCTGATCTATTTCTCCCAGTCTGAAAGTACACTGGTATTGAGACTAGCGACCACGGCTTCCAGTGGTTTGAACCTCAGACATGTGGCCTGTTGGCCGAGCAGCTGTAATTTCATACTGTTGGAGTAGTCACTGTATCCAGGGAGCCTGCAGCTTTCCTAAGTTTGCTGTGGTTGAGCCAAGACAGGAGGCACCCGCAGATCTCAACTGAAATAATGTGTGTACTAGATGGTTTGAGAAGTAGGATGTAGTATCTCTTCAGAGTGCAAAGTGATTTGGGAATGGAAAGAATTTCTTTAGGTGGACTAACCTAAATAAAGAACTATGAAAAGTGAACATTTGGGCTGAAGAATAGTTTCTCTTGATAAATAAACAATAAATAAGCTTCATCGCCTTGGCATCTCCTCAGCTTGGCTTGGGTACTTCAGGCAAGACAGAGATTTTGCTTGCTATATCCTCCCCATATGTCTAAGACCTCTCTGACGTCAAAGCTCCCTGCACAGTGACTGGGGAACTTTAGCCAGTAACCAACACATGAGTATAGTCACCCCCACCTCCCATTTGGGGTTCCACAACGAAAAGGAGCCAGCACCTGCACTCTTAGGGTCTCAATGTAATTTGTGCCATATGCCCGCCGAGTGAAGTCTGACAGGTTGAACTGAATCTGGTTCCAGCCATCATCCAGCCGCATGGGCATGGTGCAGATGAAGGGTTTGACGCGGGTGGTGCTCTGATAGTTACTTGCCCGAAACCGCCGACGCACATTTTTGTCATCTAGTACCTGTAAAATACAGGGAAAGGAGCCACATTAACTCCATCTTGGAAGGAGCAAACAACCTTTGTAAGACAAGGACCTGAGCTCCCACAGCCCGGTTTCCCAAGGCTGAAACCCAAGGGAGAATAAACAGACCAGTACAGGTCACACGGATGCAGATGGCCCGGAAGTAGCAAATTTATCTTGTTTGTTGCCAAGACAACACCAGCTGCTTATGACATATGACACACCCTGCAAGCCCTCAGACCACAGAATGATTTCATAAACATTCTTCCCTTTAGAAAAAAAAAATAAATTACTAGAGACCACCAACCTCTCGTATCCATCAGTATTGCCCAAATGCACATTACTCTAATCCTGAAGTTTTGAAATGATTAGACTTTCTGAATTCTTACTGTTTCTTTAAAAGCTCGGCATTTAATTTTGATTACAAATATCAAGGGTCTATCAAAATAATAAAGGTATAGCAGACACAGAAAAGAGTACGTAGTAGAGATTTAATACTTCTTTCCCCTAAGTAGTCAAGAGCTACACATTTATGGGCAAGTACTTACCTGAACTTCAAATGTAAAATATTTTTTCAGATTTTTGATAATCATGACAAGGAAGGGAAGTTTAATTCCCAATGTCTTCTTTGGGTCTGCAGGACATGTGATATATGTGGTGCTGTAGAGAAAGGAAACACCAATAAACACACTACTTTCCTTTTCATGTATGGTATGCCAGCAATAACACATAGTCCTAGGATGAAATGAAAAGCAGAGCTAAAAGATCACATGCATCAGCCAATGATGGCAGCTCTTAAGTCAGCTGACACTTAAAAAAAAATACTGGACTATGAAACAAAAGCTTCACCTAGGACTAGATATCAACAATAAACACTTGAAAACAAAGTCAGACCAGTGTATCTAGTGAAAAACTAGCCAGACCAGTGAAAGAAGATACAATTCTAGTCCAAAAGGATCGTCAAATAATAAAAAACAATACTGACACGGCTGTGGCACCAGAGACCACATTGGCCATAAGCTGGATCATCGGGCAAGAGGTATCCTCGTCCCCAGACACACCATGGGTCAGCAGTAACCATAGCAGCTAATGCAGACAGAGCGCTCACTTCCTGCCGAGAAGGTTCTAAGTGTTTTAGAGACATTCATTTATTTAATCTCCACAATGACCCTATAAGGAAGACATACTGTCGTAACCCCATTTTGCAGATGAGGAGCTAAGGCGTGGGGACGCGGTAACGTGGCGAGGCAAACTCTAAGCAGAGGGCTGGATGCACACCGGGCAGTCTGACTAGTCTGCACTGTTAACTTCTATGATGGGCAGCCCCGCGGGGTACAGTGTGGCTGGGGGAGCAGAGTGGCACTCTACCTGACATTGGTTCCTTCAATCTCTAGCACCAGGGACTGGATGTCATTATCAGTGATTCTTTTGATGTGGCCATTCCGCACCTAAAAGGAAGAAAACTAAACTGGTTAGTAGTGAAGTATTTGGTCAAAGCTTTGTTAAATTTTTGAGGGCTTAATGGGTCCATTTAAAGAAAACCACAGTGGCCCGAGAGGCATCATAGAAGTCTGTGACATGGTATGTGAGTTAATATGTCAACTATGCTATCACCTCGATATAGGATCTGATCAACCACCACAGGAATTGCAAGTAACTTGGTAATGCGTAATCTTCCCAAGAAAACAACTTAGTTCAGATTAATCTAACATTTATTGAGCACCTACTATGCACTGAAAACATTCGTGTACATTCTCTCACTTAATTTTATCAATAACAACAACCACAGGGTGCTCTCTGGTGGTGCAACAGGTTAAAGCACAATGCTATGGCGCTGTCCCCAGCCACTGCAGCACAAGTTCAATCCCCTGCCAGGATGCTGACCCACATCTCGCCCACTGCTCCTCTCAGCAGTGTATTTTGGTCAGTCCACCTATTCTGCTCCCCCACTGTCTCTGGTGAATCCTTTCACTCCTCCCCCACCTCTGGTCTGTTCTTGTATGCATAAATAAATAAATCTTAAAAAAAAAAATCGCAAAGTAGGTAGTATTGCTTTTACTTCACCAATGTGGACACTGACACCCAGGAAATGCAAACTAGAGGCTCCCCAGAGCGGGAGTCAGAACAAATGCCCAGACTTTCCACAGCTTCACACTGCCTCTTACACATCTTTGTGCCAGAAAGGTCAAATGCTGAGTGTCACTGGGGAAGAGGATGGCAACTAAAAAAAAAAGAAAAATGCATTACTCCCCTAGGTCTATTCTTATTTCATTCTTATCTTCTTTCCCCAAGTTTCTACTTTTTCAAATATAAATTCAAGTCCCATCTGTGCCATACACAGAAGCCTGCACCTTCAGCCCACAAGGACTTCTCTCTGAAGGGTTTTTATGGCCTATGCAGCCTAAAGTACATAAATCAGCACTTACACTACTTTTTTGGTACTACTTGCTGCACATACACAAGGTATGTGATAGAGAGGAATCAATATTAATAGATTCCTTCTCTCAATATTAAGAAAAGAACAATTATCAGACTCTTAAGTACCTAATATGACCAGAGCAGATAGAAATGTACAATAGCATTTTAAGAAAGTACTGTACCATTATAGTTAAATCTATTGAAACATGAAAAATATCAACATCCTATTCTCAGTCTAGAACAGGCCTCAGAAAGACAACCAAGTTGTCTTTTTCTAGGTATAGTGAAAATGGCCACTCATCAGCAGTCATATTCAACAGCTCCATTATTTGGCTCTCCGTCAGATTTGCATACAGGGAGGGAACAGTGCTGAGTCTGTGTGGTGAGCATATTTGCCACCAGAGATTATTAGTAACATGGCATTCAGTGTCTTTGAGCTGTCATTGTGAATGTGATCCACTGTGGTGTACTTAATGATGCCCAGGTGACATGTAACGTCACTACCCATTTTCCCCTACAACATGTTACTCTTATTGCCTCAAAAAAGTATAAGCTCAAGCATCATTTTGTACCTTCCACAATGCTTAGTACTGTGCTAGGAATAAACTAAGCTTTAGAATTTTTGCTAACTTCTGGAATTTACAAGAACAATGGCACAAATGAATAGATTCAAAGTGGATTTTTTTTTTTTAATTCCTGGATAACATACCCACCATGGAGTAAGATCCTGAGGCATAGATCACAGAGCCCATTGGGCCAGCAGTGTGAAGAATGCTTTCCCACAAATTGCTCTTCGTGCCCCAAAAAGCACCATCAGGAGCAAGAATGTTCATTGGATGGCCCCAGACCTCTGCCAATGTAGCATTTCTTAGGATCTCAAGACACAAACATCACATTCAAGTGCTTCTCAAACAGAGCTGATGATATCCAATGCCCCTTCTGCTCTGAATTCTGGGCCTCTTTCCAAGGGAGATAAAGAGCACAAAGGCTTGGGCCTATGCAGCGCACGCCAACGCTACCCACCTCATTCCCCAGCCAGTGTGGCAATATTCATCCTTTACTTACTAGCCCACAGCTGTTATGGAGAACCAGGAAGACTTGATGGTGAGGGAAGAATTAATTATGAAATTATTTCCAAATAAATATGCAATCACATATTGGTAAGTGCTAACAGTATCCCAACAAGATGCAAACACTAATTTATAACATACCACTAATATTGGTCTCTATAACATAACTTCATTCTTTCTTTAAAGGTCTCTAATATAAAAAGCAGGTGGCTGAGTTGAAAAGATCAAGTTAATGGGCCTAAGGGCTCCTACTGCTAGAAGGCAGCATGCGGCAATGCCCCCAACTCTGAAAGCATGGTCTCAGTTCTTATAGCCCCAGGGGTCTCTCAGGCCAGAGTCAGCAAGAAGTCGCTGGCAGCTCCAGAAAGCCCAACCAGATTTCACAGGGAGGAAATGTTAGGAAACTTGTGCTGCCCATCTCCCATCTCCAAGTGTATAGCCGATGACTTCATCCAGCAAATCCAGCTATTCAGCCCTCACAGGAGAACACAAAGCCTGCGCTGCAAGCAGGAGTCAGACTGGAAGCCAGAACAGACTCTGTAGTGTCCCTCAGTTTCTGCCCCAGTTCCTGGATTTTCAACAACTTTTTAAAGAGATACTTCCTTCAGCAACATCTGATAACCACCACTGAACAAATTTAATTCTTGCAAAATTAATTAAAAACGTATCCATCCTATAGAACAAGAGCACCTAAAGGAGAAATGACAGTATTTTCAAAGGAATACTCACCAGCCCTCCAGAATTTTAACTTAGCTTGTGGCGAGACAAGCTAAATAGAGCCTTGCCCAAGGAGCAAGTTCAGTCCTCAGAGAAAACACAAGCATTCCCACATCACGTACTGCCAGAGCTTTGAAATCAAACTTAGTTGATTTGCTAGTAAAATTATGATTTTTCCCCTTTATTAAGTTTAGAGGGCTACAAATACAAACTCATTGGAAGAAAAGGGGGGAGGGTTGCATGCAATGCATCAAGAGTTAGTGTTTTAACAGTTAAGTAAATCCCCAAACCTTTTGTCTAGGCTCTGAGGTGGGACCCAAGTGTAAATTGGAGTAGCCAAGTTATCAGTCTTCCCCCAACCACTGTGGCACTCTGGGTGTCACTAGTTCAAATGATAAAGGTCTTCAGGAAGCAACTCCCCCCTCCTCATCTAGTTTCTGACAAAAACATAACAAGGTGCTTGGTCTCAGAAAGCAGCAACTTCCTTTCCTTAGGCCTTCCAGTTCAGAGGTCACTAGGCAGGCCTGGCTTTGAAATGGAGAAAAAATGAACTGGTCAGCATTTATTACTCATGGTGGAAGCAGGTTTTATTTACTTTCCTCTCTAAATTAGAAAGTGCCAATTGTTTTTTCTTTTTAAGTGTTCTTTTTTTTTTTTTTTAAATTTCATTAACTACTCCCCCCACCCCAACCATGAGCTGCAGGTAGTTTAGGAGCTCCAGAACCCAGGCAACTGGCAGGTCAGAATGTTTCTCAGCCTCTGCAGACACCCAGAAGGGACTGTCAACCCTTTACAATCACGCCCAGGTTTCCCATGGTTGCCAGGCAGTTAATAAAGAGCACTGATTTGTATTTCAATGTATACCCCAGGAAGGAGGAGGGAAGCTGAGGAGGGAAATACTACTGGGGTAGAGAGGTCGCTGGCCATTACACTGTATTTCTGAGAGCTTTAAAGTAACAAAAGTAGTATCCATTCCCCATCCCCAGTTTTCATTTTCTGGCTCTACCCACTTACCCGGCTGACAGCTGAGCCCCCAGCCATCTGGCATCCTCGTCTTAATGACACATGTTCCAATTTATGCTAAGCCATTAGAACTGTCCGTGTTCAACAGGCAAGTTTCTGCCCTAGGCTACAGCTTGAATTCCAGTCAAAAAACAAGCAGAGGGAGACCTCTGTAGGGAGAGCTGCGCATAGCTCCAACTCAAGGCCTGGGCCTCACAGGCTAGAAATGGCCAAAGGTTTCTTCCCTTTCTACGCTTAACAGGCCCTACTCCAGACTGCAGAATAACAATTCTAGGCATACACAAACCTCTTCCTAACAGTACACTGAAAGAGCAAGTGTAACTAAAGCCCACACCGTCTCCAATTCTAGTAAAGGCTGTTATTCAGGATAATAAAGAACATAGAATGACCTAGGAAAATCAGGGGGAAAAAATAACCATGCCAACTCCATGTCCAAAGTCACTCAATCCTACTGGAAACTCCGTCAGTTTAATATGTACCAACAAAACTTGCTAGTTAAGAGCTACAATGGGAGATTAAAAAAAAAAAACTGTTTACTGTTTAAATTTGGAACAGGAATCTACCACTCTAGCAACAACACCACAAAAATTCTGGTTCTGTCATTTGGTTTGGGGATAGGGAGATCAGCAGCTGCTGAGAGACAAGGCAAGAGAAAAGGAGGCTCTTGTGTGAATTAACATCCTCATCTTGTGCACTTTCAGGATCTACCAGAGACAGAAAGTTGTTTTATACAGACCAAAGTGGAATAAGAGCCTTCTAGTATTTTCTTTACAAACTACTCATAAGAGTCCTTTAATAAATGTAATCTATTTGCTTATAGTCTTGCCAGAAATTTAGGTCTTAATAAGTTTATTCAAGTGAATGACTATGATAAAAAGGAAGTAGAAATCCTATGAGTAGCTATAAATAACAACCTGGAGGGTCAAGAAAGAGCTCTCTGATAAAGTGCTTTGAACTAAGGCCTGGAGGCTGATGATGAGGTACAGGCGTGGGTTTCAGCAGAGGGGCCAGAAAATGCAAGGCCTTTGCCTGAGGGAGAAAGAACAGGCTTTTAGTCAGAAGGGGGTCAATGCTCAGAGCCCTATTAGAGATTCCGGACTAGGGAAACCATGGTCCAATGAACACTTAATTTCAGAATTGTGGTTTTAGTGTACTTCCTACTCATAGGCATCTGACAAGGGTCTCAGTTATAAACTTATTTACTCTAAGCAAATTCTCAGTTCCCTACCCTAGTTACTGCTATAGGCCAAACATTTTATGTACATCCTCACTTGAGCTCTACGACCATGTGGGGGTCAGTCTTATGATGAGAAACTCAGTAGTTAAGTACTTGTCCAACATTTTACACAGCAGAAAACAGCCAGGACACAAACCCAGAGAGTCTGATCTCTCCAGCACTGGTGTTTCAGAGCAAGACATCATACTTCCCCTTAAGGAACGTGCCGTCTACCAGGTGACACACAGCAAATAAGCCGCTGCCACACCGGGTGACAGAGCATCACTGGAGACCTAAGGTAAAACTCCCAGTGAAAGGTTTGGGGTTGAAGAATGAAATGGGGGGCAGGGGCTCTGAATATCATAGAATGTCAATAAAGGGCAGGGATTCAAACACAAGCAAGTTATACCCACAACAATGGAGTTTGCAAATTCACTGGTATTGTGAATACAGCAGTCACAAGCTCATACATAAAGATAGAAATGGGAGACACAGAGCCTAAACAGAAACCAAACCAATATACCCAGAAATCAATTTGTTTCAAATTACGGAATATCTATCCATAAACTCAATAAATAAAATAGTGAAGTTCTGCGCTATCAAAATAATAACTACAAATAAGCACCACAGCCAACATGTACCTACTAGCAAAAGGCAGGTTCATACCTAAACAAATGTAGACAGTGTCTCCTTCCTTCCATCAAACTGTGCCCTTATTACAACTTTGCTTATTCCTGGAGCAGAGAAAACGTCTTCAGAAAAGATACCTCATCTTTCTCCAAAGAGATTATCTCCTCAAGTCTATACAATGCCTATCACTTCGCTGTTGCTCAATAAATCTTTGATAAGTATATCAATTCCCAGTGTTTTCCTGGCTGGATTCTCAATATTTCCTCAGGGCTTTATATAACATAGCTAAGAAAAGGCACACTATAATTATCTATGATTTGGCCCCAAACTTTCCCTTTTTCTCCCTTTCCCTCCCTTGTGGGAGGGAGTTTCCCTCCTTCTGGGAGGGAATAGAATTTCCCAGCTATTCTAAATAGGAAGAATCTCATGTTAACTGCTGCCCTTCTCAGCAGTGTATTTCAGTAGATCTGCCTGTTCTGTTCTCTGATGCATCCTCTCACCCTGTACACCTCTGGCCTGTACGCCAGTTCTTGTATGCATAAATAAGAAAATCTTTAAAAAAGAAAAGAAATAAAACTTTATTATTATGAGGCTCTTCTTTAACATGGGTGTTCTTCTAAAGGCTTTCTTTGACAAAATGTGTTTTATTTACTCCACATAACCCAGCTAGTGGATCAATGTTTTCACACCTGTTTACATCTGTAGGGCACCATCCGACCTCTAGTGGCGTTGTTAAGGGACACATGGAGCACCATGGTTACTCTTTTATATACCGCTGTGTATACATGTTGACTAGTCAAAAGGCTGCCTTTGAATAAATGAAACAAAAGATCAAGTTTAGAATGGTTAACTCCAGAATGGTTAACAGGTCCAGGGTGTGCAACTCTCGCAGAAGTCTCACCCCATAGAAACAGTGAGGCCTTCCTACCACTGGAACTGTTTCAGTGTTAGCACATTCTCTGAGCTGCGCCTAGGTCAAATCCTATTCTCTATTTCATTTGCCTCATGCTGACACTTTACAGTTCAGCTTCCAAGTCCAGCTGGCACACAAGGCCACTCCATGCATCCTGACCACTTATCACTAAGCCAAATCACAACTGGGAAGTTGTTATCCTCATGAAGTCGCTAGGTACACTTCCTCCAACTTCTTTTTGTTGAGCTGCATTTTCAGAGTTTGCAATGTTTTAGTCCAATGTGAACTAGTCCATGGTACTGAAAACTTCAGCGACACAGGAGGGCAAAAAAACTGGATCATCTTGCTTATGGACAGAATCTTTGGGAGAGGAAAGCTGGTGAGATTTTTCATATATGGATAAAGCTAAACTCATTATATGCAGATCTTTCCGCTATTTCATAAAAATAACATTAACAGCACCCCATCCTCAGACCTGCTCTGAGAATGCATGACTCTGCTGGTGCAGAAAGCTGGCCAAGTTCTCTACCAAACTATGAAGCAGAGTTCTCTTCTATGGGTGCAGAAAGACAGGGCGCTGTTCTGGGGTGAAATCCACTTTTTTTTTTTACTTCACCTACCCAAACCACTTATTTACTCTACACCCAGCTCTGTAAGGCACCATTCCAACATACCACCTGTCTTCATGCCCCCCCCCCCCACCAAGGAGGGCAGTACTAAGGATATGTCCTAAATCACTCACCTACATTAAAGTGATTACCTTAACTCCTGTTACAAGAGGGTGAAACTGACTATCTGGAAACTTACACGAGAAGCCAAATATTAAAGTAAAAAATGCAGAGTAACTCTGAGGCTGAACACACATGCCCCACTACTCAACATCCCCCAAAAGGTAGACATCTCCTGGGGGCAGAGAAAGGAGCTTCTGGCAGGCATCTGAATGAAGAAGCGGCGTGTACAGTCCCTGAGCTTATTCATCGAGACAAGACTGTCACCATTTTGCAACTGTCCTAATGGAAAAAATCAAGAACTGGAGGCACACGACAGAAGGTCCTCAAATTCTGGCCTGTTTGGGGTCAGCTGCAGGAAAGAAGCAAATGAATGTAGCCCAGGCACACTGCTGTCTGGCTGAGCCTCCACTAGGGTGCCTGGAACAAAGGCTCTGTGTCCCGCACCCTACATTGTGCCTGGCACAAATGAGGCGCCCAGTAGCTATCTGTGAAATCAGGGGACAGCAGTTCCTTATATAGGTAGCTTCGCAAAGCTGACTCCCGAGAATGTCTGCGTTGCCGCGAGAGGGGCACTATCTGCCCCACGACTCGATGGGGTGTAAAGGCTCAGAGGAGCCGAAGGGGCAAGTGAAGTCTGCATGGCGGGGCCTCTGCCCGACACACAGCGCGCACGGCCGCGAGACACTCCTGTCCTGTCACAACCTCCTCACACGCCCCCACCTCGAACCTCAGTCCCGCCAGGAGTGAGGACGGGGCGCAGCAGTGACCGTTCGGCCTCCCCAGGCCTCAGCTACCCTCCACTCCGTCCGCAGAGCCCGGAACATGAGTGGGGCGCAGCCCTGCACCCCACCCCGCCGCTGAGCCCGGCCCCTGACCTTTTTGTCCCAGATCTGCAGGGGCTTGCTGCCGATGCTGTAGAGGATGGACAGGAAGCCGCTCTGGAACGTGTTTTTGAACATCTCGCCGGCGGCCTTCTCCTCAGCTGCGCCGGAGCCGACCTGACCGCGCGCCGAGTGGCGAAGGCAAAGCGACGACCGGGGCTGGTCGGAAAAGGGACACTGAGCTCGTGGCCCCCCGGTCTGAAGTACGGCTTGATAGACTCGGACGCAGGTCGCGGCGTTCGTAAGCTTTAGGTCTCAGAACAAACCAGCCTAATCTGTATGGAAACCACAGCAACTGTCTCCCGCGCCGCTCTCCCCGCCTTAAATGGAGGCGGCGGGCCGCCCGCCGCCTCAGAAGGATCCCTCCGCCCACTTGAGCCCACCCCCTGAGAACGCGAGGTCCAATCCAGCCAATCCAGTCCCAGGCCTCGGAGCTTCCTGTTCCTCCTGCTCTTAAACCCCGCCCTGGTTCCGCCTCCTCGTGCTAAGAATCCTGTTGCTAAGGGACTATTTTCCCATCGTCATCCCAGAGCGGCCTTTAGAGAGCGGAAGAAGACAGCGGATTTAGAGAATGCGACGTTGAACCTGCGTAGTGCCATGGAAACGTGGCGGGGGTGGGGTCAGCGGGCAAGAGACCAGGCCCCGCCCCCTTAGGGGAGAGGCGGAGTCACCAGGGGAAGAGGGAAGCCAGGTCCCTGAGTGGGCTCAGCTACACAGGTGTTTACTTACCTGGCGTCTTGTGAATGCCAAATAATTGTTTGTTGGCCACCTATAGGAAAAAGTTGAAGCGAGCTAACCAGTGTTGGGCACTATGTGCTAAGTGCTTCATATGCACCGTTGCTGTAATGATTTAGTCTCTATGAATACACCGTTATCTTAACTTGTGGGATGCAAGAGTTAAAGAAGTACTCTGAGGAAAATGTATTGCCTTAAACGAACCACCAGAAAGCAAAGGCTGAACATTCAAATAAAAGCAGAAATTGCTTATGGTGATGGCACACGGGTGACTTGGTAATGGGAAACCCATGGGGATTACAATTGAGATGGGGAAAAAAGTGTACAAAATGATGTAAAAATAAACTTTTGTTTAAAAAAAAAAAAGCAGAAATTGCTAAAATTCATCAGCTGATTGCTTTTAACGAGCTAATACTTAGAGCAGTTTTTAAGACGTTGACTATATTTAAAGTATGAGGGAAATCCGAATGTGTGTGACAAGTCAGACTTTGATTAATTAATTAGGTAAAAACCTAAACATCACACTTTGTGCCCAGAGCTGTGTTGGGTATTGTGGCTAACAGAAAGGAGCTCACAGCTAACTTTATCATCAAAGCAACTAATAATAGCTAATGCAATGGGTCATTTGTGAAGTGGCAGGCACAGTATTAATTGCCTTAACCTGTATTAAGTCATTTAGTCCTTACAAAACCTGAGTAGACAATCTAACCAGTTTCCAGACACAGGGAAGTCTTCTAAACAGTAGAAAGTGAAAACTTCTTATATGTGAAACTGTTATTTTTAGATGATTTCTGGGCACTCTATATGGTTGCATTAGTGACTCTATATGCTTGACATTAGTGAACACTTTATTCCTTGATTGTTATTAAATTTTTCCTGGGGGATAAACAAGGACAGAGAAGAGATAATACTTAGAGAAATAACTATAGATGATGGTTATTTAAATACTATATACAACTTAAACCATTGACAATATATATATAATACATTATTCTGTAGAGAAAAAGCTTCAAATATCGAGACTAGAAGCAGAAAGCCAAATAACCAATAATCATAGAAAAAAATTAAGATTTATCCCTTCAGGACTACATATCATTTGTGAAATTTTTCTTCTGGTGAAGATAATAGATTCACTGAGGAAACTGAAAAAAGAACATCACAATCATCACAATGACTCATATTTCGCCATTCAAAAATAACTATGCGTTTGGGTATCTTCATATCTTTTTTCCTTTCCTTTTTTTTTTTTTTTTTTGATGTGTAGTGCATTATTGTTGCAACAAGAGACCATAGAAAGAAGCAAAGAAACGGGGAGGTGAAGATGACCCTGTCACTCCTCTCTTGTCCCGAACTAGATGTCTTCTCTGTCCACGGCTCTGGTAATGGTTGCTCATCTTCCCTTCACCTGAAGACCTTTTCCATTTGCATCCAGTGCCAGAATTTCTAGGTCATAGCATATGCACATATTCAACATATTTTAATCCAGACTGACACTCACAACCTTTTAAAGATGAATAGCTAATGAGTATTGGCTCATTTCCATTTAATGTTTCTACTGATAACAATTGAGTTTAAGGTCCTATTTATATGTTCCATCTCTTTCTTGCTCTTTTGTTCTTGTACTGCCTTTAATTAAGGATTTTACATTATTCTCTTTTACAATTATCTTCATGTTTTAGTTATGCCTATTTTGTATTTTACCCTAATTTATTCAAGAAGTTACAATGTGTGTTAAGCTTAATAATATTCCACCTTGAATTAGCATTTTACTGCCTCATGACAAAAGCCAGTTACCATGGAATTCCATTTACCACCTCATCCTTTATGCTATAGTTATCATATATTTTTACTATGTTATAAACCCCATAGTACTTATTAGTGATATTTGAAACAATCAGTAATCTTAAATTTAAAACATTTTTCCTGCCTCCCCACATATTTATCTTAACCAGATCTCTTCATTTCCTCCTGGGTATCTGTACTTCCTTTAAAGATCTTTTCCTTTGTGTGAGTTTCTTTCTTTAGTGTTTTTTGTTGGGTGAATCTGCTATTAATTTGCTCAGCTTCTATTTGTATGAAAATGTATTTGTCTTCATTTTTGAAGATCATTTTGTCTGGAGATGGAACTCTCAATTGGAATTTGTTTTTCAGCTTTTGAAAGATGCTATCCTATGATCTCTTGATCACCACTGTTGTTATTGAGAAGTCCATTCTAATTTCTGTTATTGTTCAGTGAACATAATGTGTTTCTCCCTCCTTGTCTGCTTATCAAATGTCTTCTTCTTTTTCTTTGATTTCAAGCTGCTTGAAAATGACTTGGTTAGGGCCCTCCCTGTTGCTACAACGGGTTAAAGCAGACAGCACTGTGAAGCTGGCATCAGCTACTGCGGTATGAGTTTGCTACTTGGCTGGGGAGGTGACCCGCAAGGCATGGCAGGCTGCTCTCCTCAACAGTGTACTTTGTTGATCTGCCTGTTCTGCTCCCTACTATGTCTCTGGTGAATCCTCTCACCACCCCTGCACCTGTGTCCTGCACCCTAGTTCTGTGTGCATAAATGAATAAATCTTTTGGGGGGGAAATGTTAGGTTTTGCCTTTAATTTTTCATTTTTCCTTTACAAAATCTGCTTGAGATTCACCAGGCTGTTTGAATATGTAGGTTAACCTTTTCATCATTTGGGGGGAATTCTTAGTCACTATCTTCTCAAATAGCTTAGCATCATAACAGAATATTGTTCTGCACCATTTTTTTTAACTCTCCCTGAAACTCAAACTACAGATATATTAGCTATTTTACCATATACTCTCATGTTCTTCTCTTTTAAAAAAAATTTTCTATGCCCTTCCTGTCAGTGCAACGGGCTAAAGCACAGCACTATGAAGCTATCCACAGCCACTGCATCATGAGCTCGATTCCCAGTCAGGGATGTAATCCACATGGTGCAGCAGACCTCTCCTGACCTGCCCATTGCTCTCCTCAGCAGTGTATTTCAGTTAATCTGCCTGTTATGCTCCCCACTCTGTCTCTGGTGAATCCTCTCACCCCACCATAACTCTGGCCTGTACCCCAGTTCATGTATGCATAAATCTTAAAAAAAAAAAAAAAACTTGTACAATAAAAGCTAACATCATACACACTTCTGCAACTTGATTTCTTCATAGGAGAGTATATCCTGGAGATTACTATCAGTGTATTAAAAATCTTAGTCATTCCTTTCATAACTGCATGGCCCTCCATTGAACGAATCCTCTGTGATTTATCACTCAGTCCTAAAGATAAACATCAGGTTATATTTAGTCTGTCCCTATTACAAATACTACTACAAATGCCTTGTACACATACCATCTCATGTTTTTATTTATTTATGCATACAGAACTGGGTTACAGGCCAGAAGTGCAGGGGTGATGAGACAAAGCGGGGAGCAGAACAGGCAGAATGACTGAAATACACTGCTGAGAGGCATAGTGGGGGAGACAGACGGTCTGCGGTGCCATGTGGGTCAGCAACCTGGCCAGGGATTGAATTCTGCTGAAGTGGCCACAGCTAGCTTAGTAGTGCTGCACTTCAACATTTTGTGCCACTAAGGAGGACCCCCATCTCATAGTTTTAAAAAAGTAATTTAATTAAAGATTTATTTATTTATTCATACAGAACTGGGGTACAGGCCAAGGATGCGGAGGGTGAGAGGATTCACCAGAGACAGAGCGGGGAGCAGAACAGGCAGATCGACGAAGTACACTGCTGAGGGGAGCAGCGGGCGGGTCAGGAGAGGTCTGCCGTGCCATGTGGTCTCCTCCGGGGCAGGCGGGGATCGAACTCATGCGGAAGTGGCTTTAGCTTCTCAGTGCAGTGCTTTAACCCGCTACGCCACCAGGGAGGGCCTAAATAAATAAATCTTTAAAAAAAAAAAGTTGTGTAAGAGGTAAACACATGATGCACAAACTATTGAGTGGTCTTGAGAACCCCACTACTACAAAAGGGGCTTAGCTGGCTAACCCATAGTTTGGGGTGAACTCAGTCCAGAATTTCTGGCCGTGAATTTAGAGAGAGTAAGTCACCTTGGTGAGGTATGCAGAGTATGGGGGCTAAGGTAATTAAATCAAACACTTGATGTCAGTAATCTGCGTCAAATTGAAGAAAACGTTTCTGATTATTGTGGTGTTTTCTTATTTAAGATATTTGGAAGTTACCATAGCCTAACCTATGAGATTTGATACTTAGAACAAATTTTAATAGCTAGGAAAATTATAGACTTATAAACGACAACTATTTAAAAGGCTGATTATGAGTTTAGACTTAGACATTGTAGTATTTAAATACTTAGGTACATTTTTATCAGGTTTTCAGTCTTTCCTATTACTACTGGAAGTGTCTGTGTATCAAATTGATGAAACATGTGGTTGACTGAAATGTCTAAGGAAACTAGATTGTGTGTGGACAAGTTTATGGTTTCACCCATTAGTTTTGAATTGAGCATGATCAGAGAGGGAAGAAAGGTGTTCCTCTCTCTATACAACACAAACTAGTTTTGTAGGTTAACTTCAAAGACACAAGACAAGTTCCACTTTTCAACGGACGGTTTAATAATTAAGATAATATTTAAAACACCAGCAACTACAGACATCCTTTTCAGTGTACAAGAGCTTTGCTCAGACGATAGAACCCAGACTGTATCTGTCCCCGTCCAAGTGCAGAGCACCTGGCCTCCAAAGGACCGGGAATTGCCATACACCGTTGCGCAGTTTATTTTCCTTGCTGATGGGGGTGGGGAGGTGTAGCAATGAGGTGAGGAGTTGTGCCTGAAGAATCACCCCTTAACTGAGAGCGAAGATGAAAGATGAGAGCTGCCCTGAAAGACCGCTGGTAGATGGAGGGTGCCTGGACCCCAGCTGCAGAGGTTAAATCCAAAGAGCGTCAGCCATGATTACATCAGTGAAAGAGCCAGGGGTTGGCGGACGAGGCGCCTGCTAATCTGCAAGTGAAGTTCAAATGGGACTTTACTGGGGCTCTGTACATTACTGTTTAATTTTTTAGAATTTATTTTTAAACTTAGATACAGTGAAATGTCCTCTTTTTGGTGTAGTGTTAACAAAGACAAGGTCACGCAGTCACAGCCATGTAGGATACAGAACAGATGGATCACCCCAGATTTCCTCATGCTACCTTGGTAGGCCAAACTCTTTCCTCCCCGCTGCCTGTAACCCTTGGGAAAACAGGGACCTCTTCTCCATCCCTGCAGTTTTGTCTTTTCCAGAAAGTCATGTAAACTGCATCATTCAGTATGTAACCTTTTGAGTTTGGCTGCTTCTTAGTACATGCTCAGCACAATGTTTGAGATGCGCATTTTAATTGTAGAATATTCTGCAAAGGGTTGTGTACCTAGCACATTCCGACCCCTTCTTTAAAATGTGGGGAGCCCCTCTGCCTGCTTGCTTTTGAAGCTTTCCTCCTCCAAGCACCTGAAACATATTAAAAGGCAGCATTTTTCATGTTTAAGATAGTCTTTATGTTTAAGATAGTCTTTATCTTGTAACTTTCTGGAAAAGACCTTTAGAATGTCTTCGAACTTAGGGTTATTTTGTGATTGTGACTCTTCATTAATAAACATATTTTTAAAAGCAAATGAATAATGAAATTCACAGGATGAGAAAAACATGTCATTATATATATTTTAATTTTTCTTGTTAAGAGTCCGTGCCTTTTTGAAAAGTAGGCTCCTGGCAAGTGCATGAAACCTGGGCACCTTGCTCCAAGTATCTGAGTCCTCCAAGGATTCCATGATTAAAGGCATCACAATCTTAGCATTTGTCAGCAAGAGAAGGAGGTGGAAAACTGCTTTTTCTGAATCTGAACAATTCCCTTTGTTTCAAAATAAATCACATGGCACAATGATCTCAAAAACATTCCTATTATAAAAAATGTGCAATTTTGTTCACTGCAGCAATACTTATAAAGGCAGGTAAGTATTGATAAATAAGGGATTACTTTGCAGCAATACTTAAAATGGTTGGTCAATCTGCCAAGAAAGGTGATTTACCTAGAATGTGGTACATCACATAATGGATTACTATGCAGCCACAAAGAAGCGGGGTAGAGCTCTACATGTTGAAACAATAAGACTTTGTCAAATCAGATTTCTTTCGTAGAAAAAAGAACGTTAAGTCTGATTATATTTCTGTAGAAATAAAAGTCACTATAGTTTCAAAAATGTTAATAAATGTATAGGGGAAAATGGGAAGATCAAGGCCCAATTTCAACATTAGCTCCAAGGGAAGAAAGAAGTATCTATGTATGTGTGGTGGCGGGACAGGGGGAAGTACTGTCAACAATGACTTTGTTATCTGAATTGTTTTACCATGGGCCTATATCCCTTCGGTAATCAAGTAAATCCGATGAATATATTACCTCAAGCAGCCCAACATAAAGAGCACTATTGCAAGATATGGATTGATGATCAGAACTTCCAAACACATAGGTAAGCTTTAGATTGCTCTTGGCTTAGCAAGTTCCTAGAGGTCAAAATAACAAACAAAGACGCCTTCATTCCACAACCAAACACTCTCCCACCCAACAGCAATCACCCACAAGAGGCAAGAGTATTTGGCGTGCCCAAGAGGTTTCTGGAAAACAAGACCTTCCCACTGGGAAGTTAAAGAGACACTTGATTGAGAAGGGAGATTTAAGGACAAAGCCATGATCATGCCATTGAGAGAATTCCCAAACATATTACTGTTAACTGCTCCAAACAGACCCTTCCCACCCGGAAGGGTCCTAAGTGCCAGCAGGCCAACACAGAGTAGCACGCTGTCTTGACAGAAACCACAGTTGAGGCATGGCACCCACAGGAGCTCCCGGGGTATATTCATGGCAACACACTGAGATGTCGTTCCAGGGGTCTGCAACCAACCAAAGGTCACAGAGCCTTGAGTGAAAAACGGCCTGACGAGACAGAACACTCGAGAACACGATGCTGCTGAAGGAGCTGGGGAGCACCACGTCCATCCACTCGATGTCCTGTTGGCCTTAGAAAGAGCAGGGCCTGTGGACCCTTGCGTGCAGTCTCAAGTTTCCACACCTGAGGAGCTGCTCAGACTCGACAGCTGATCGGAGGAACACTGTGACGGGGTGGCCTTGAAGGGCCTCTCTGCTTTCCCCCCCATACTCGCTTCAAAAACTGAACGTCCGCACCTGGGTTCCCACAGTCACCTGTTCAGGACAAGCAGCAGAGAAAACAGAGAAGGAAGTTGTGCAGACCAGTGATTTTGTGGAGAACCAGCCGGCGCCCCGTCCAGCTGCCTGGGCAAAGGCATCTGCCTCTCACTTCAGCTCTCTACAGGCAATGGGAGATCACCAGTGGCAAGGCTGAGCAGCCGCCAGATTGCTGCTGCCTCCACCTCCCCCTGGGAGGGGAGAGCTGAGGGAGCCAACCAAGGCGCATGTGCAAAACAGCTTTTTATTTTTTCAGTTAACAAATACAACTGGCACTTTCATTCTATCCTCTTTCACATCTGAGAGGGCCACATTTCCTTCCTGCTCACGGGAGCTACAGGATGCGCTCAGAAGCAACCCTCAGCTGTTCCCAAGACCCCAGCCCCTTATCTGCTGCAGGACCGCAGAGCCAAGCATCCGCTAGGGTATAAGATGCTTTCCAGAAGGGACCCGAGGCGGGTGGGATGGGGCGAATTGGGAGGTGGGGTGAAGTACGGGGATAAGAGCACAAGGAAAGCAAACAGGGGACTAAGGCATCTACCTTCCTATGTTCACTTGTGGGCTCATTCAGCTACCACCGAGTTACAGGGGGCTCACCAGCTTTGGAAGGAGGGATCAGGACAGAGCCTGGCCTCTCCAGCTCACAGGTCTCTCTGCATCAGCTGCTGCTTGCCCCGTTCCCAGGGTGAGATCACTCCAGACCCCTTCAACTTCTCACCCCTGGGCCTTCCCCTTGCTTTCCTTCTAGAACCTAGCAGGAATGCCCTCCTGTTTCACTCAGTCCTCTGTGGCCTCAGGCCTGGGTTAACGGCCCCTTCCATACTGAAAACTCTCCATACATTTCTTTTAAAACCTTTTATTCAATAATATATACTTTTAAAATTATAATATGTAACTGCCCATCATGCCATATATTGCCATTCCCCTGCTGTGGCGTTAGCGTGGGCTGCCCCAAACTAGGCAGCCACGGGAGAAGTCAAAGGCACAGGGAACAATTGGAACCAACAACCATTTTGCATACCCTTCACATTTCCCATGCTTTCTGGGTCAGGAGGAAGTCAACAGGAAGCCAAAGGCGTGTGAACCTTTTACATTCGGAAGTGAGGTTTGATACACGGTGGTGGGCTGCCCTTCAGCTGGTCTAGTTCATGTTCGCCAAACCTGCCACCGTTTTGTGTCTGCCCACGGCACGTGATCTCTCTACACACGTTAAGACGTTTGATTTGGTTCTTGTTCTGCTTATGGAAAAGTGGGAGGAACCGCAACAGACCTGGGGAGAGATGGGAGGAGGGGAAAGACGGCATTAATCGATCTGACCGGGAGGGAGGACAGGCCTCCACGTGCGTGTGGTTCCCTTCTCTTGAAGTGTTGAGAAAAGCTTGCCTTCCCCATACCCTTTGTGAAAAACCTACTCAAGAAGGACTTGGCTTCAGATTTCAAACGGGACCCTCTTCCTCTTCTGATCACCACTTAACAGAGGCATTTTGGGCACCGCTGTGAGCGCAAGGGGGACACTCTGGATGTGTGTGACCATGTGGTCTCCCCATGAGGATCTGGGACACTACTTTAGGACAAAAGTTCTTGACCCTTCAGTGCAAGCCAAGTTACAAGTTCATCAGGTGACTCTAGATTCCCATCAGATCTGAACTGATGTACTGAGTGTCTTGGGGGCTAAGAATCAGGTGACTATTTTTGTACAGGAAAACGGTAGAATGCACCAAAACTCAGACCCAAGAGAGCTCTCGGGAAGCTGTTGCCCAGCATGGCCAGAGAATCTATTTCTCCCTCCATGTCCAGTAGAGTGAAATGGGCAGTGAGATGCTTGCAGGAACAATTCCAGAAGCTGGTACTCGTAGAAGAGGCCCATGCACCGGGGAGGCTGTCCCACAGAACATCTTGGGAAAACTTTCTTGGGTAAAGGAAGATTCTACTGTTTAGCATCTGAGCAAGGCTGCATGGGCCGTTAAGAAACGACTTTTGTTTTTAAGCACATCAGCGATTTCTAAGCACCCAACTCTACAGAGAGGGCAAAAGAAAGAACCCCAATTATGGAGACACCCCCATCTGCCAAACAAGTGTAGTAAACTTGCTCGTGTTGCAAGGCTGGGGGATGGTGTACCTTCACAAAGGCAGGATGCTCTGCCACCAAGTGTCACGACATTCAAGGTCATGCAATCAAGCGAGCCAACCCCAAGAGGCAGGTGTTGTGGTGCACTTCAGAAGCTCAAGAATCACCTCCCATCCCCATTAGTCCCGCTTCTGTCAAAGGAGTCTTGACACCGAGGTGACTGGTTGCAACCACCACACACCGTTGCAGTTCAAGGTCTACCCCTCCTCTGCCCCGAGACAGGAAATACAAGTTTACGGTCCTCATAGCAGTGGCCTGTCTCCCGTCTGGGAGGCTGGTGATAATCAACATTTTTATTTATGAAAACAGGATTTAACACGGAATTTTCCTTTTGTCTAAGGGCTGCAGCACGTCAGTCATACATGAGTTATCCAGTGATACAAAGAGGTGGCCAACTGTGTCTGAAGTAGTCCTTTGTAAAGGATCACAACCCAAGCAGTGTTTCTTTTCTGAAAACGGAAGAAGGAAACGGTCGCCTCCATGGATCGTGATGATTTATCCAAGCTGTCCGCTGGGTGTTAGATCTGTCCCCACCTCTCAGTCACCATTTACAGCAAGAAAAGCCAGCAAGTGAAAAACGGTTAATTTATTGATTCAATCAGTTTTGTTTTTTAAAACAATCCCCAATACATGCAGTTCAGGATTAAGCTTCACATTGCAGCACATCGTTGAGTCTACACCAAAGTATGCATATGCACCGCCTGCGTCACCCCTTCGTGGCCATCCCCAGCCTCCACGACAGCTGGCTGGGGCCGTGTTCAGTCACACATCCATAAAGCTCCAAAGTATCAGTTATCACTGATTTTCTCAGCCGGGTGTTTCACCACTCCCTTCCCCCTCCCCCCATTTCCACCCGGGGGGTTAATTTTTAAAGGCAGGACATTATTCAGTCTTAATTTATTAAGCTCACTGACAAAACTTGTGTGCTTGTGTGGACCCTGCTTTTATTTTCAGGTTTTAAATTTCAATGCCCTCAATTCTGATCAGTTATTATCCACTCCTTTTTTCCTCGTAGGAGAAAAAGTTTGCTTTTTTCCTGTGGGTTCTCATACGGTAACACGGGTTTCTAAATGAATCATTTAATCTGAACTGGCATTAAAGGATACCGTTTACGAGCTTTCTTAAATCCACTGCAATGCGTATATAAAAATTCTTCCAGCTGTTGCTTGTGTCCCCAAATAGTCTGGATTCTACCTTCCTCAATGCAGCACCTGGACGAGCCTGCATCATTTCCCTGAGTAGGTGCAGACTGAGCCTGCCAGCTCTCTGGGACTCGGCATCTGCCTTGAGCGCCACCTCTCAGTCGCGCGGGACCAGTGCAAGGGCAGTGCCCACTCCAAAATATGTTCTTGGTGCCCCTCGAACAGTGACATCCTCCAAGTTCCACCTTTAGACATTTCTTTTTAACTGGTTCCTTTTAGCAACTCCCTCTCTCCCAGCCCCCAAAGTTCACAAGCTCTTCCCGCTTCTCTCATCAGTCTGAGAGTCCCCTTCCTTCTCACAAGGCTTCGGGCTTGGGGAGCTTCCGTGTGCTACAGAACACCTGGAGCACAGGAGCGCCAGGCGAGTGACTGGCACTTCAGTGCCTCACTGAGCCAACACTCGCACTCCATCAGAGACAAGATGGCTGGTTGGCATTATTTCCCACCCAGCACCCGCCAAGGGGATAGGCTAGGAGCAGGCTAGCTGACATGACCCAGGGGAGAGTGAGTCACAAGCAAACCACAGAAGAAAACAATTACTTAGTGCTTCATCAGTGCTGTTCTCAGCATGGGACCGATTGGCTGAAGCAAAACCTTGTAGTCATATGCTCATTGGCGGCCAATAAACAATCAGCATCTGGCACAGGAACCTTCTTCTCTCACACCAGGTCTATGTTCTTGAACATAGGCAGTACCTGAGACGACAGTGTGACACTACCCTGTTCCCCACATTTTTTGCTTTTCTTTAGAAATAACTGAGTCCTTAGCAGAGGCACTTTGAACCTGTTATAAGGTAACAAAGCAAACACAATGTCGAATGGAAATCACTGAGATGAATTTAAGGAGTAACATCCTAACTGAAAACAATACTGAGTGGGGACATCTAACACAGTTAGTCTAAGTCTGACTCCCACTCCTACACACATTCTCTCACCCCTTTCTTTTGGAACTCTCTAAGACCAGCTCTTTACCCAGGTGACAACTGTATAATCTCAGGTTAGTTAGGTGAATCTGGACACAAAATAGTTTTTGGAGGCAGTGACAGAGAAAAGGTCTCAACTGGACACACTTCAGCCTGGGAAAGAACTACAGCCAGCAAGTGAGCCAGTGAGCCTGGGTCTCAAGACCAGACAGAAAGGAGCGAGCACTTAAACTGAGTTATGCTGTATGTCTAAGGCATGAAGAGGTAAAAAGTAAAGCTGGTGCAAAGTAAACCGTATGCATTAAAAAAAATTACTCCTGTGTCAAGCTGCAGTTGCAGAACCCAAAGACAGGCAGATTGGCTGTGTTTGCGCCTACTGACTGAGATCAAAGGAGAGAGAGGCAGAAGTAAATCACCTGATTTTCTCCTCCAGATGCTTTCATCGCCCCTGGGGGGCCCAGGGGACAGAAATGGGGTTACTGCTTCACTCAGAACTTCCAGTAGGCTCCCCCTGCCTAGTCCTGACAGGCCACTTAAAAAAAATAGGTGGGGGCAGGAAGAGGATTAGGCCACCGAGGAGACAAGAGAGGTAGGGGAGCAGGAAAGACACACAGTGGCACATCTCCCTGATAATAACCAACAGCTCAGTGCTGCCTAGAAGGGCGTTTTAGAAGGCTTCGCTGATGATCCAAAACACTGGGTTTCACTCGCTGCCTGACAGAGCCACAGAGGTTCAGCTCAGAGTTCATATCTCATCCTTGATTTTCAGGTAGAACAAATGTATACGTTTAATATACACAATGCACAACACAGGCAGGTAGTATTGGTATGAGAACCTTAACTGAATGCATTTCCTGGATTTGGGATCTATTTTGAATCTGTAGGCTGAACTCTTAGCACAGAGTTTTATTTGCATTATAAGTTCCCAGAGAACAAACGACAAAAATAGAATCTACATTTAGAGATAGGACCTACTACCAATACCAATATGATTTTATTGGAATATGGAATGTAAACAGATGTTTTCAAACAAACAATCTAACCTTATAAAAATGTATGGCATTATTAAATAAAGAAATCCTATATGTGATGTGGACACCTCTAGCTCTAGCCTAGGTGTGTGAAGTCCCACAGCTGTGACACGGCTCTGAAGCTGGGGAAGGGTGGGGGTCTGCTTACAACTGCATTGGTGACAAATCCCCAAAATGAAATCAGCCCTATTTTATTTTTTCCTAAAAACCAAAATCTAGCTTCCTTTGCTAGTGTGAAGATTAGCACAGTGGGTCCCAAGCTTTGACACTTGCTCCAAGAGTTCCACTTCCTTCCCCAAGCAAGTATGCTGACGTCTGCAGCCACGTGGGTTGTCAGGGGGCCCCCCCCCCACAACGCCAGCCCTGCCTGTGAGAAAGGCGCATCTTGGCCATCACATTCATGCATTACCTAACAGAGCTTAAAAGTGCAGATTACCCTGATTATAGCGGGAAATAAATGGGGAAAAAAGAGGCAAAAAGGGGGAAGGGGAGATTACATTTTTTTTTTCACCCAGCAAGTCTTTCCTGAATAGATTGTAAGAGGACATTTTTTTCCCCTCCTTGACCTGCCTGAACACTGACTTTCCAGCTTTAACTATGGTCATGAACAAAAAGAATGTTCTGAGAGGTGCATAAAATAGGTGCACACACAGGGATGTGCTGGAAAATGGTGAGGTTTTCCTAACAGGGCTTGGGAAAAAAAAAAAAAAAGCAAAGCTACACACACAAAAAATATTAATAAGATTTTATGATTAGGCAAATCAACAAAGGCTACAGTGAGCTCTTAGCAGTCAAGCACTTAGCATCGAACTTTCGATGAGACAGATGGACCTGTTCATGGCATTGCAAGGTTTCAGGTGATGCCCCTGATAGCAAAGGGGACGCCTGTGAGAGTGACTGCGGTCTGCTCCCAAATGAAAACACTTAGAAGAAAACTGCAGGGATGAGGTACATTTCCTAGAGAGCTCATGTCATAAAAAAATACATAAAACATGAATTTGTAAAAGAGCTTAAAAAAAAAAAATACTGTCACTGTTTTAATATCTCCTTTTCATAAATGAGGCTGGTGTCAGTATATTCTGCTGACGTTTTGTTAAAACTTGAGCCTGAATCTCACCAAAGGAAACCCAGACCACAGTGGAATAGATAGGAAGTCAGATATTCAGAGCTTGGTGACTTAACGGGTCAATTCAACAGTGTTCTCCTGTTAAATAAAGGTGAATGTACAACCCCGAGTCTCTCGTCTCCCATGCATTCCACAGGGAGAGTCCCCTCAGCTCCTGAACCGTGTGCCTCGTCAGGCTGCCAGGTGGCAGCTCCCTGTAGACTAGTACTGGGGAGTTTCTTTCTTTATGACAGACTTTTAGGTCTTTACTCTTCTTTGCATTTAGAAGGAATGACTAGAATTTCTTTTTATCACACTGTGGTTTTCCTTCAAGATGTGTGTTTGGTTGGTTGGTTTTATTGGCAAGCATCAATGCCGTATTACCCGTCGCCTTCCAGTCTTCACCGGGCTGCCGTGAGGCCGCTGGAAAGCACAGCGTTATCTGCACACGGCTGGGACTGCTCCTTCACCACGGGGTCTGCAACAAACGGGGTGAAAGTCAGTGGACCCAGGGCTGGCCAGTGTGGGGGACAATGCATGACAAGCCCGGCTCTGCCACAGGGACACAGAGGGTCAGGAGAGCAACAGCAAATACAGAGTTACAGCTGTGGAGAAACCAGATGCTGTACTTCCTCCGTGGAGAAGCTCAACCACTGAGACTCATGGAAAGGAAAGGTACAGAAACACTAATTTCCATTGCTCAAAATTTCTACTAGCTTTTTATATGAGTTATTTTCCTTGAATACAAACATATCCAACCTCCATAACCAACAATATTGCACTATGAGTGCAAGAACAGTAGTCTGGAGGAGAGTGTGAATAAAAAAGGCCACTGGAAGACCTACATGTATTCAGACATGTAGACAGATCATGAATGACGTATTATGAACATCATATATAAACACTAGCCGATGGGCATGTTCACTCTCAAAAAAGCAGCCTGGACCTACCCTAAAAAAACAAAAACAAAAAAAGGAAATACCACTGATCTAGCAATCCCACTTTTGGTATCTATCTGAAGAAATATGAAGCCATCAACTCAAAAAACTATATATCCAGAATGTTCACTGTAGCATCATTACAATAGTTAGGGCTTGGTAACAGCCCTAACCACTGGTAGAGCTAACCATAGCCACTATGGAATACTATTCAGCTACAGGAAAAGACGAAATGTTTCTATTAACAGCAAAACTGGAAGGAGCTTAAGGGAATTATGTGTAACAAAGCAAGACAGGAAGATAAAGACAATGAGTGAACGTTATCACTTATATGAGTAAAATAAGAAATAAAAGTGGATGATCTGAGTAAGCAAAAGAATCATAAACTAGCAGACATTGATAAACAAGGTTTCTGGGGTTAGGAGGGGAGGAAGGAAGGAGAAAAGATCAAAGGGGTGTGTGGTAGAATGGAAAATACATAGATACAGAAATAGATGAAGGGACAGATGGACAGTATATTGGTTCTTTTTCTCTGGAGAATCCTAATTAATGCCTCTCTTATGGCCAGGAAAAAATAAATAAATGAGGCAGCATTCTTACTCTAACTCAAAGGGTGAAAACTGCTTTCAGTTTTCTATGCCAGAAACTGGTTAAGAGAACATCTGAGTTGCATTCATCCGAGATGTGGAAGGTAGGCCCTTTGAAGTACGCTGTCTACTAATGCTTATGGGCCAGAACAGGCAAGACCACATAATAATGTATTCTGGTAAAATGTAGTTCATCTCTGGAGAGGAAAAAAGGAGATGGAACAGAACACACACTGTTCAAGATTCAGCTGTTGAAAGTTGTCACCTCAATTCAGAATGTACTGAGACAGGTCACTGAACAATGGAGATAGGATCTACCTATTTTCAGTCTCCTCTGTGACTGGAAAAAATCATCTCAAATTGTTAATAAGAAGAAGGAAATTTATTTGAGACAAACTTTATCTGTAGGGAGAAGTGTATGCCTGCAAATATACCATATGTATCCACTTCTAAGGCAAACTTAAGAAGTCATCAATTCAGATAGAGTTTTCATGAATTCTTTCCTCAAACTTTTTATTTCAATCTTTTAAAATACACCATGTCGACCTTATTACTACTTGTTTTTGAGAGGAAAAATCCTCTTTGCTTAGGTTTCCACACAAATGTATAGATTTGAAAACTAGCTTTAGGTACCTTTGATTAATCAACTGAGGGCCATGAGGAAGGGGAAACTCAAGGCAGCCACGTGGTGAACAAGCAAAACCGCTAGGGATCAAAAACAGATCTATCTCAAGTTCCTAGAACCAACAAGGCTAAATTCTAAATACGATTCAGTCCAAATACTGAGAGTTTTCTAGCCTGGCCTCAAAGATAAAAGGCAGTAGGTTTCCCCTTTAATAATCAGCCCCAGAGACTTACAGAAGTAGGGGTGCTCCATGGCCTCTTTGGCAGTCAGTCTCTGTTGATGGTCGTATCGCAGAAGTTTGTCCAGAAGATCTAGGGCCTCAGGGCTGACAAGGTGTCTGTTCTCACTATGGATAAAGTTTTCCCAGCGTTTTCGTGAATGTCTGAGAAGAAAAGAAAAGCGTTATTTGGATACTAAATTCCACAACAATTCCTACTTAGGAAGACTAAAGTCAAGAAAAATCTCATTCTTATTGGTAGCTGCCCCCATGGTTATGATATCCTCCCATGGTTATGGTGATTAATACCATGGAACTGATAAATAGAATTAATTAAAACTTGTACATCTGACTCAGAATTGGTGGAACCATCCTTGATTAGTTTTTATGTCCCAGGAATCAATTTTAGTCAGTTCTGGCTGTCGCATAAGGCAACTAATTTTCATTAGCCATCAGGTAGAATTAGTGCTAGCTTCAGAAACAGGGAAGTTCCAGAAAATACTTTTTGAAAATTGTCAACACATTTAATTTTCAACATTATCACACTGTCTCTGAAAATGTACTTTAAAATTTGCTTCTTTGTAGAAAACACACTATACAGAAGAACTATAAAATCTCTTACTTCAAAGAAGCATTACAACTTCCTAAGATTCCCCATTAAAATAAGCATACATACTGTACTGAAAGCATTTTTTGTTAACATTATAACTGTTTTCTATTTTCTACTGATGGTTGCTATTCTCTTGGATAAACTAAGTAACTAGAAAATCTATATGTAAACAATGTCCAAAGAACTCAAAATTAGTTTAAAAAAAAAACCCACATGGGATGAAAAAGGATATTTCCATTTTGTTGTGATTAGAAAGGGGGCAAGGCCGTTAGAAAGCTAACCTTTCCACTTCTTTTTCTTTCTCTCTTACTTACTGTCCCAGGATATCGTTGAAGTGTGGATCTAGGTCTATGTGATATTTCTTCAGATACCCATACAGCTCATCTGTACCCAGAACCTTGGCAATGCGAACAAGCTGAAACACAAAACAAACTGACCAAATCACTGAGCACAGAACTCACAGCACATCGTGAGGATGATGCACCAGGGGACCAGACTCGCAAAGCGTTAAAACTCCAGAGGCCAGATACAGATCTGGGCCTGGAGCAGACAGATGTACACCCACAGACATAAAGTTCACAAGAATGCAAATTTCCAAGCTGCCTTTAAGATGGTAACACAATTTATGACAATAATCTAGAAACTGACAATTACTGTGACAATCCAATGATTAGAATCCAGTTTTATCAGACAAAGGGGTGCCTGACTTCTTTACAGACTCAGGCTGAATCTTCACAGACTAAGGCTGAAAGTTGGGTATATACAGTATTATCTGTCTCTGCCTTTGGGGAAACTAGCGATGTCAAAAAAATTTATGAAAATTCTTTACATTGAAGAAAAGTCTCTATGCAGATACTATGTGATGCTTTGGTGGCTCAAGGACATCATCCCTGCCAAAGGATGTTATCCTCTGCCATCTGTCTTCAAATGTAAGAGCCACACGGTGTTTGCTCACCTGGTCGTAGTTGTCCTGTCCGTGGAAGAAGGGTTCCTTTCGAAAGATCATGCTGGCTAACATACAGCCCAAACTCCACATGTCCAAGCTATAATCATACATCTGAGGAAATAACAAGTCAATTACAGGTATAACAAATGCATTTTTCTGAGCCAAATTTCTAGCTTTCAGTTGATCTCTGCAGCTATCTTAGAACTCAAAGTGAAGGAAGAGAAAAAAGGCTGAGAAAAACCTGAAGTTATCATTTGGGGTGGAATGAAGTCTAGGTTTGAAATGTATCTGCACTGATTTAACTAAAGGACAAACCAAGAAAAGCCCCAAAGAAATACATGAAGAATCCAGAGGCACTTTACCTGATAGTCCACGAGGAGCTCTGGTCCCTTGAAGTATCTCGAGGCTACACGGACATTGTACTCCTGAGCAGGGTGATAGAACTCGGCCAGACCCCAGTCTATCAGTCGCAGCTACAAATACAACAGAATAGGACACGTGACATGAGAGTTTCTAGATGCAGATGCCTTAGGTGACCCACATTAGATAACTATTTGGTCACACCAAACATCTAGACAAGTATACTGGCCCAAAACTACACTTTTCAGCAACCGTGTAAGGGGCCTACAGCAGAGCACGCTTTCCCAATTTAAGTTATCCTCATTTATCGCGCTCGCTAGGTCAGCAGAGCTTATGCCGTTTTTCCTGCCTCCATGCCACTTACATGTGCAACAAACTCCCCTGTCACTAACAGTGTGCAGTGAAAGAGTGGCTGGAATCATATACCCCACTTCCGGACTGACGCACTCCAATTCTTCCTTAACTTAACTACTAGTTGACTCATTTACTCAGCAATTAGAGACAACCAGAGTTGGATTTTAAAAATAGCATACTATGAAGGCCCGGGAGATTGGTCTGAGGGTCATTAAGAAGTAGAAACTCAGCTGAAGTTTCTACCTTGAGGTTCTCCAGAAAACCATGACCAAAATAAACAAGTTATTACAGTTGGGGTCAGCTACCTACTGCGCTTATATAAAGTAAGTCTAAAAAAAAAAGCACGCAGGCAGCACAGGTCTCCAGAAACTACAGTACAGGCCAACTCTGTTGTCTCCCCATGGTACCTTTTTCTGTTGGTGATCTATCATGACATTGTGAGGTTTCACATCCCTGTGCATGATTCCTTTGCTGTGGCAGTAATCCAGAGCCTATTAGATAAGAAAGCACAAAGAAAAGTAAGCAAACCCCTCTGTCATCCCAACGCAAGCATATTTTATGTTTGTGACAGAGGGACTTGAATACAGCTCCCCAAAGGAGCAGCTTACTCTGTAAAAAAAAGAGAGAAAAAACAAGGCACCCCTTGTTCTCTAGGGCTGGCAGCTAGTAGACAAAGGGCTGTGGAGGGAATAAGAGCTACAACGAAGGATCTTTAAGAGGAGGTGCTGACATGCTCCAGACGGTCCTGTCCAACTTGTGCTGGTCACCCATTTGTTAACCACCTGCTGTCATCCATTTATTAGTCTAATTTGATGTGCTTAAAACCACATTTGGGAACGTCTCTAGAGTCATCTCTCATAGTGGTTCAAATGATATGCAAGAGTCCTACAAGGATATGCAGAAGGATATCCAATGTGCCTGTCCTTTAACTAAATGTGTCCTGTGAGTTTTCTAGATTAACAAGCATTCTAAATGTTAGGATTTTCTTAAGAACAACACTGTGTTAGTTGACCTTTAGGAATTTTGACTGGAAATTGCTTCTTTAAGACAACTGATACGCTAAGATTATTATTATTTATAATATAATAGTTTATTTTTACATCATTTTGTACACTTTTGTATCCATCTCAGTTGTAATCCCCGTGGGCTTCCCATCACCAAATCACTCGTGTGACATCAACATAGTCCTGCTCTCCCCACCCCATGTTTGATCCCATTCCCCACTCCACCTCCATAAAATGTCTCTGGCAAAGGGCTGTTCACTATTATCTCCCCCCCCCCACCCCCCCGGTCCTTTATGCTCCTGCTATGAGTGAAACCATCCGGTATTTTTCTTTTTCTTTCTGGCTTACTTCACTAAGCATGATCCCTTCCAGCCCCATCCATGTTGCTGCAAAAGGCATGTGTTTATCTTTTTTTGATTGCTGAGCAATATTCCATTTTGTGTATGTGCCACATCTTTTAATCTAGCATCTACTTTTGGGCATTTGGTTTGTTTCCATGTCTCTCCAATTGTAAATAAAGCAGCAATAAACATGGGGGTGCAGGTGTTTTTTTGTTTTTTTTTTTTTTAATTCTGCAAATTTACTTTAAATTTTTTTTCAATAGTGGATTTTCATCTCAAGGGTGATTTTTTCTTTTAAATATAATAGTTTATTTTTTACATCTTTTTGTGCATTTTTCCATCTCAGTTATAATCCCCTTGGGCTTACTTTTGGGCATTTGGGTTGATTCCATGTCTTTTCAATTGTAAATAAAGCAGAAATAAACATGGGGTGCAGGTGTCTTTTGGGTAGATACCCAGGAATGGGATTGCTGGGTCATATGGTAGCTCCATTTTTAGCAGTTTGAGAAACCTTCAAACAGTTTTCCATAGTGGTAGTTTGCATTCCCACAGGTAAGATTATTTTTAAGTGTACAAAAATCTTTTAGTCAATTTCCTAGAGTCAGCACTTCCCGGACCAAGAATATTCAGTGTATGATGCTTTTTATATGAAGGTCAAGAGCAAGCAGAAGTAGCTATGGTGGTAGAGGTGAAAACATAATTTTCGGGGGGTGGGGGGGCGGGAGGGAGAGCACCACTGAAGGGCCACAGGGAAATCTTCTGGAGTTTTATAACATTTTTTACTAACCCTGTCCAGCAGAACTTTGTGAAATAAAAAGTACTCAGTAACTGCACGGTCCAATATGGTAGCCATTAGCCAACGATACCAGAGCACTTGAAATGTGGTGTTACTAAGGAGCTACATTTTAAATCTTACTTAAATAGCTCCCTGCGGACAGCAGCTACTCTACTGAAAAGCACAGCTCTGTATGGATCTGGGTAAAGGCTTCATCTGAGTAAAATCCAAAAATCTGTACACTTACTATGTGTTCACTTTATTTATGTAAGTTCTTCAATTTATTTTTTCTCTTTGTGTTGTCTTACGGCAGTGGTAGCAAGATTCCAAGTAGCTAGGTGGTAGTGGCTTATGAAACACAGGCTCTGAGGACAGGTCCCTGAATATGAATCAGGAGACCAGTTCTGCACAAGCCCCACGAGTTTCCAGCAATCATGGTAGTGCTCAGCATCAGTTTCATCTACATTTCCAGTGAAGTATTTCTTCTTTCCCACCCCATCTTTTCCAATGTGAAAGTTTAGCAAGTGTGGCTCTATTATTTTGTCCCATCTTTATCTAAAGGAATAAACTAAGGTATTATCCACAATACCAGGGATGTGAAAAATACCCTATAAAAGGCAAAGACAGAACAAATACAGTAAGGTACTCTTTTGCTAGTCAGACTCTCTTAGAATCACTGACATACTTTAAAATTCCTTGGGGAATTATTTAAAATCTGGTATGGTTTCTGACCTTAAGCAAGTTTTTCAGGTTTCATCTGGAGTTCTAAGCCTATTAACAGAATGCATGTTCTGAATACCTCAATGCCACCTCCAGAAGGCAGAGAGGTCAACCCCTGAGTTTTCACCTGAATGAGCCTGTAAAGACCTGTATCACTGGGATGTCTTAACCTGATTCAAGGGCAACTTCTAGGTTATAAACCTTTGCCTTTGGTGTCTGGCCAAAACCTTAATACCTTAAAAAAAAAAAAACAAAAAACAAAAAAACCCACACCCAATTATGAGATTTGGATTGTAGCTCTCAAGGAGTGAGTATATGGGACTTCCTGGGAAGTACCTCCAGGAAGGGCACTAACTGGCACTGCAAACCTCATCCCCACCAAGGCCTTTAACTTTAATCTGGAGAGGGCACAGACAAGGTAGGATAAATCAAGTTCTACCTTTTCATCTTTTGTTCTTATCAATCCATAAGACTCAAAAGGGAATCCTTAAATCCTCTATAGGTGTTCTCTAATAACATGTGGTCTGTGCACCAAACCATGTGTTATGAAGAAAACACATTTACTCCATAAAGCTACTTTCTTTAAATCCCAGTTTCCTACTTTATCTTGGTCCTTTTATGTAACTGTTCACAATCCCATAAATATTTTATCTTTGCAATATTCCCTCAATAATGCCAACACCTTAGCCATTTCCACAAATCTTTTTTCAGAGATGCTTAATTGAGAGCCATAGCACCTCCACCCCCCCAACTGCATATTTATACATGCATTTTTTAGGTGGAATTCAAAGTTTTTATTACATTCTTAGTGATTATTGAAACTAAGAAAACTTAGGAAGCACTGGTCTACTCTACTTTTAAACCTTTTAACTTAAGTGTTTACCTAGGCAGAACAAAAAACACGAATTCTCCACTATGCAGTAATGCATCAGAATTTCATTCTTGGGATTACCAAGTCTCCTAGAGGATCTACCCATTAACTTTCCCTGATGTCCAAGTTAACTCGCCAGGGCTACAGGGACAGGCTAGTGGGTAAACTGTCTACTCACTAGAATGGGATTAGGTGAAATCTGCAAAAGGATGGCTTCAAATGCCAGTCATTTCTGTAAGCATGTTAGTCCACAGTGTGACACCAGTGCTCTGTTCACCAACAGCTTCTACGCTACCACCTGAATTTGGATTTGGCTACACGATCTGCTCTGGTCGAAAGGACTGTAGCAAACATGATACAAGCAAAAGCATGAAAAGTGCCTGCACACAGGTCTGCTTTCTCCTGCTCCTAGGACTATGGGAGCACCACAGGAAGTGTCCCAGACTAACTTCTTGGAGCTGAGAACACAGCTAATCCAGCTGACATTTCAGATAAGTGAAAACCCATTCTGGACCATGCTGCTTCAGTCAAGTTGACCCAAACCAAAAGACTGCTCCAGTTAACCCACAGAATTTTGAAAAAACAAATCATATAAAGACAAAAACCTCCCTAAATTCCTTGGGTATTAAAAAAAATTCTACCAAGTCTTTGGTCTCTCAAAAATTTCTCTTTTAATAAATAAGCCTGAGAAATTTTACTGTTTATGAATGGTACTTACTTTAAGTAGTTCATACATATAAAACCGGATATCAAAGTCTGTCAGGATCTGGTAAAGTTGCTGAAAACAGATTTCAGAAAACAGAGTTAGTCTTGCTGCATCCTGTAAACAAAAGATGGTCATTATTATCTGTATACATAGTGTTTAAATCACTAAGGAACCCATGACTTTTTACTACTTGATCTAGAATAAATGGAGACTAAGGACTGGTGTTTAATACTTCAGTTTCTGTAAGGAAAAAAGAAAAAGATTTCTAAGGGCAAAATATTTAAGTCAATTTGTACCTCTAAAAACTTAATGGTAGGTGATTTCAACACCCACTATTACAGTATTATGAAGATGAAGTACAAGTTGCCCAACTGACCTCAGGCCAACTGCATTTCAAACTAACCAGCCTCACTGTAGTATCACAATGCAGCTTTACTCAATCAAGTTCTGAGAGATAGCATGCATTAGCCCACATGGGTAAAACAGTGGCATAGAAGTCAGCCTGTTCATGAAAAAAATGAGAGAACATGAACTGTTACAGAGTTTTGGAGATGTTAAGAAGCTTGAAAATTTCTATTTTTTATAATTTATTTCCCCAAAACCAATTCCAAGCTGGGAAAATAGAACAACTGATGAACGTTAGGGTAAAGAAAATAGTGGATAGGGTAAAAAAGAAAAAACAAAAAGGCAGAGGAACTGAAAATAATTGCAGGCTAAACACGTAGAAATGAAGGGAGTTTTAAAAAATTTCTAAATGACAGAAATTTCAGTCCTATCAATACTTTCTAAAACGTTAATCATCACACCTTTACCAATTCATTTCATTCCTTCCTGCACTGGAAGATTCACACAATATAATCTCTCCAAGGGGCAGATAACACCACTTGCGTCTGTGCAGAAGAGGGTAAGTAAAATAACATTCACATTTTTTGGTATCTACCAAGAATGACATAAAAGAGATTAGGGCCCGCCCTGGTGGAGCAACGGGTTAAAGCACAGCGCCATGAAGCTATCGCAGCCACTGCAGCACAAATCCGAAGATCCCAGGCCAGGGAGGTGACCCACATGGTGCGGCAGAACTCTCCTGACCCGCCTGCTGCTCCCCACTCTGTCTCTGGTGAAGCCTCTCACTGCCCCTGCACCTCTGGCCTGTACCTTGGTTCTATATGCATAAATTAAAAAAAAAAAATCTTAAACAAAAAAAAGATTAGTAAAAAATGGTTCCTATATATGTGTGTATGTGTGTATGTATGGGGGAGAGGGTGAAGACATGAAAATATACATGCTCAAAAATAACAAATTTGCTAGTAATCAAACCTTACATAAATTTAAAAGAACACTGGGATTTAGTTTGTTTTTGAAATTTCCTCTTTCAAGTAAGTTATTTCTCCCTTCAGTTCTGAATATTTAACTTCGCTGCCCTCAGGCAGCAGCTCAGGGCTAGCTCAGGGTGCGAGAGTGAGGCACAGGGACTGGGGCCACAGGGGAGTGCCCCCGGCTGCTCCACCACTGGGGGCGGCCAGCCTTGGGGCTGAGCCCTTTCAGGCACAAAGGTACAAGCGTGCCACCCTGCTCATGAAAGATCGCTAGCAGAAAGCCATGCTGTTTGCTTTGCTGCAGCTCTGCACAGCAGCAAGGCGCTTCAGCTAGCCTGAGCAACCTGTGTGGAAGCAGGCCAAAGATACCATCTCTATGGCCATCAAATCACCTTCTCCTCTGAGAGGTAACAAGATCACTCCTCGAGACTCTGCCAAGTTAAACCTCAAGTCAGTAAATAGACCATAAAGGTGAAGAGAGCATTTTCTTGAAACCCTCAGATGGCTGCATTATTTTCTTTCCAGAAAACCAATACGGGCCACTTTATTATTTGGACTTTTCCCCTCAAGTAATACAGTATCTGTACCAAGCAGCTGTGTAAATGGTGTAAGATAAATGTCCTTGGACTGCACCAACACAGTATTCTAGCCATCGATGAATATCAATTTTACTTACTACAGAGAAATACTAGGTATACATAGGTTAGTATTTAAGCCTGAATATATCATTACAAAGTTCTGAATAGCAGGTTGTCATTCACTTTCATTTCTCAGATGCTCTGGGTAAGAGAAAAAATAAACTACATCTGTAATGTCTAACGACCTGTGCCTAAAGTCCAGCACTTACCAGGCCCCATGGCCTGGTCCCTGACTCCTGCAGCCCCCCAGGAGCTGCCCTTCAGACCATCCAAGCCCATGCTGGCCGCATCCATTCTTCCTTCTCCAATGTCCCTGCCTTCCCCCAAATCTGGAATGCCCTGTCCCTCTGCCTTAAGAGCCAAACCCGGCCCTCCCTGGTGGCGCAGCGGGTTAAACACAGCACTGAGAATCTAAAGCCGCTTCCGCATGAGTTCGATTCCCGCCTGTCCCGGAGGTGACCACATGGCGCAGCAGACCTCTCCTGACCCGCCCGCTGCTCCCCTCAGCAGTGTACTTCGTCGATCTGCCTGTTCTGCTCCCCACTCTGTCTCTGGTGAAGCCTCTCGCCACCCCTGAGCCTCTGGCCTGTACCCCAGTTCTGTATGCACAAATAAATAAATCTTTAAAAAAAAAAAGAGAGCCAAACCCTATCCAGGCGCCAGAGTTCTTTCTGTCCAATAAATCCCCACTGTTTATTGTCCATTTGGACAATGACACCAGAGTTAACTTTCCTCACTCAGGTACTGGCAGGGACCTCAAGTTCTTCTGTGGGGAACAATGGACTGTTTCACTTTGCCCTCACCCCAAGAATCCCAGGAAAACATCCCCACAAAGGGAGACATACACACAATGGGGACAAACAGATTATGGTAGGTGGTAGTGACCACTGTGGGGAGTCCAAGATTCTTAACTTCCCTTCCTGCAATATGTAACAGGGTCCACTGAAGAACTCAACCCAAGATCTGAGTCCTAACATACAAGGCAGAAAAGCATTTGCTTTATGTACTCCACACCATGTGTGCTCATTCTGTCTGTGCACAGAAGGTGGTCAATAAAGACCTGTCATCAATGACATTCACCTCACTGGAACAAAATAAGAACCATCTTCTGATGAACAGAAAAAATAACTAAGAGTTCGGGACAAATCAGCAAGGGAAACTTCACAAGAACCACACTTTTCTCCATTCTTAACCAGCTATGTGGAGAAGATTAGCTACCAAGGAACTGCAAAATTTGGCAGGAAGTTGCTTTGCTTACATTTTCATAAAGTGAAATATCAGAAACAAAACAAGCTTCTGCTACCAGAAGATAAAAAGCACCGAGGAAGAAACTATTCACCAATCACCTTTTGGCTCCAAAGCCTCAAACACAAGGGCATTTCCCTAGAAATCAGTTCCACCCCAGGATTACACTGCCTTCCTCGCCCCACAAGGCCTGGTGGCTATTTCCTGGGACTTTTAATTAACTTCAGAGAGTCTGAGGAAAAGGATGAACAAAAAAAAAAAAAAAAAAAAAGGGCAATGTGATACCCAGGGACTCAGGGTCTACAACCAACAGCCAGAGAGGAACGGTCTCAAGTGGCCCTCACTTCTGCTGCACACACACAGGTCTCAGACTCCAGCTCCTGTTCAGCTAGAGTCCAAGGCCTCATGTCCACTTCCCACCCCACATTTCAAGATGATTCCCAGCTAGACGTGGGGCTCACCAACAGCAAACTCTCACCCTGAACACATAATCTGCACATTCTCTGACATACATAACTCAGACTATGCCCAGAAATCCCAGAGGCCCCCATACAGGGAGAAGAAAAAGCAAGGGGAAAGGACTATACAATGAACATGAAAAGCTCTTTAACACAGTAGTTACAGTTTCAGAATTGTTAACATGTAACTCCTGATCCAGAATGAAACCAAGACCGTATTTTTAGAAATATAAGGAACTGATAGTCAAGCAAATCAAAGTTACTACAAATCACTTGAAAATGTCACTTCTTTTAAGCCTTAAGAGGACAAGTTAGGTCAATGACCTATAACAACAATAAAATTTGTTCACATGAATAAGTAAAACTACTGTCAAATCTGCTCTGCATTAATCTCAAACAGTGTTAACATGGCTTCAAGATAGCAGCTAGTCAAGGCCTATCTCTGTTGAGACTGAGACGTTCTCCACAGACCAATACAGGCCTACCATCGTTGTTAATGTATCTAGTGATATATTTTACTTATCATGTATATTCACAATTTTATTTACACTCTTGCAAAGGTATACAATACAGAGAAGCATGTTTCAACAGAAACTTTTTAACCTCAGTTACCTGGAGACTTTTGAGTTTGGGCATCTTCTATAACTCAGGTCACACTCCAACTTTTAGATGGCCTTTACATTCATTTATTTTAGACTTTTGTTCTATTACTATGCAGCCATCGACAAATTCCAAATAATCAACATCACAGAGATCATGTACAGTAGACACAGTGCTGTGAAATTAGGAATCAACACTAGAAAGATTCTTTTGAAAAACTAAAAGGATACTGAGTCATATATTTACAAATATAGTTATGAAGGTCAATACTAGGAAGCTAATTACTGAGAAAATTTTTAATATTGACACTATTGTAGATCAGATGAGACTACTTAATAGAAGTTAATGGTTATGTAAGAAAATGTCTTAATTTCACTGCCAATAGTTTTAGGGGTGAAGTATCAGGATATCCACAACCCACTTTATGACGATGAAGCAAAAAAAAAGGGATAAAAGAAGGAGAGAAACAATTAGTAATTCTTCCAGTTTTCAGTAGGTTCTTAAATTTTCAAACTGCAAAGTTTGGGAAGGAATGCTCAAATCCACAAGCTTGGAATTCATACTTCTAATTTACAAACTATCTAGAAGTGAGTTCCATAACCATGGACTGTGCGAAAATAGTGCACAATACTTCTACAGACTTAAAAGCACATTTATCAACAACCAAGAAACAAACAAACCAACCTTCATCTGACTTCTACTCCAGAAGTTAAAGGGGAAAATCAGCAAAACCTCAAGGAAGTTGAATGAAAAGTAAATATGTGAGAGGAGCAGAAACAAAAAAAGTCTGAGCAATAAAGCCAAAAGTTGGCTCTCTGAAAAGTATTACGAAGAGATCTCTAGCAAGACAGCCTTTTCTTTAAATAAGAAACAAAGAATAAAAGCAAAATGTTAAAAATGTAAAGGAAAGCAAAATTACAGACACATTAAAGTCCTCAGATAAGTCTAATAACATTATACAAAAACAAAAAAAAAAAAAAGGAAAGTGAGTAAATCCAGAAATATTATCCAAATACTCTCAAGAAAAGATAGAAACTCAGGAGAGACATTTAACTTACAGTACGTTTTAAAAGGAAAATGTAATGAAATGACGGCAATCATCTTTCAGGGCTGAACTCAAATAAAGAAAACACTCTTTGCCGATCTCTTGATTTGGGCCACATTCATGTTCCAAACGGAATACATGGTGTGAGCCAAAACTGATGGTTTGATATGAGATTGTTGAATATGTATTTTACTTTTTTTTTTTTAAAGGAAAATGTAGTTCAAAATACAGCCCTTAAGACACCTTCCTCAATCATCCCTATTTTATATAAATAGAAAGGAAAGATACCAAATTTACTGGGGGTGGGGTTTGTGTGTACGTGGGTGCTACCAGACACTAAAATCAGAATTATTTCTTAATAAAAGGAAAATATAGCTTAAAATTTATTATTAGTTGTATCAATAAAAATACTGAAAAGAAAAAAAAAATACTGAAAAGAGGGCCCTCCCTGGTGGCACAGTGGGTTAAAGCACAGCGTTAAGAAACTAAAGCCACTTCAGCATGAGTTAGACCCCCACCCCAGAGGTGACCACATGGCACAGCAGACTTCTCCTGACTTGTCCGCTGCTCCCCTTCATCAGTCTGCCTGTCCTGCACCCCACTCTGTCTCTGGTGAAATTCTCTCACCACCCCTGCAACTCTGGCTTGTACCCCAGCTCTGCAATCATAAATAAATAAATCTTTAAAAAAAAATACTGAAAAGAATGGGTTGTGGGCTTTACCACTGGTGATTCATTGCTGCTATTAAACTGGGGACAAAGTTCTGCTGAGTGATAGCTTAAAGCCTGCTAATACATGTAACAGAAAAATGGGGTAAATACCCAAACCAGTTTTCTAAGTAAGATGGACAGAGAAGAAAATAAAAAGTCTAAAGGACAGTAGCACACTGAAGCAACTGACTGTCATGTTCTACTATCTGAAGAGTTGCTCCCTGATAAGTTAATAATTTCAGTTGACTAAAATAGCATGCAAACATTAAATATTCCAAGGAGACTACCAGTTAAACAAGGTGAATAAAACATCTTTTTTGTGCCTCTTTGCCAAAGTTCCTCTAACATAACAGTCAAAGGAGTCGGGGGTGGGGGTGTGTGAGGATTAACTCTAAAGCTCTAGGAGAATGAGAGAGACAGCATTGGAAGCTGGAAGCCAGATGTCCAACTGACTCAGGCGACCAAAAAAAAGCTGAATATCCTGTTGACAGTGGAGAGGTCCAGCAGCAAACAGATTCAAATTAAAGATCACTGCAAAAGGCTTAGGAATGGTGACCCCAGGTATCACTGAAAGAGGGCAAACAGACTGAGCCAAAAACAGGAAAATGAATTTAAAACTCATTTAACAGGGGGAAATTAAGTTCAAGTTTATATGGCCACCCCTAAGCTCTCCTCAGTATGAGACCAGTAGCTGGTCTATAGCATAAAGACGAGCCTGATCATCTGCACTTTAGAGCATCATTCTGAAAGAAGAGCAGACAATGAAAAACCAGAACATTTCAGACAACTGTAATAGACAAAAACATACAGAAGAGGTATTTGGGAGGAACAGCAGAAAGGCATGAAGAAAACAATGGTCAAAAAAACCTTGCAGTGAGAAAATAGAAGATATTACATAAAACATAGAACAGAATACTATTTTTAAGAGTTCAGAGAACAAAATAGAGCGCTAAGATATGATATCTAACATTAGAATGAGTTCTAGAAAGTGAGAACAAAAAAGAAAGGGAAGAAAATCAAAGAACATTAAAAATACTTCCCCTGAAAGGGAAGAACATGAGTTTCTAGACTGAAAAAGCCCAGCAAGTGTCCAGAAGATGAAAGCGTCCTATACAAAGGCACTTTTTTGTGAAATTTCAGAAGGAAGAAGAGAAAATCTTGAAAGCTTTTGGAAAAGAAAACAAAAACAGAAAGAGATCACATGAGATGCCAGAATGTCTTCAGTGAAACAATCTCTTCAGAATTCTGGAGAAATTCTTAATTACAACCTAGAATTCTATTCCATTAAAATTAATGGGAAGATAAAATCAAGATAGCTTCAAAAATGCTAGTCCCTCCAAAATATCAATTTCCAAAGATCCTTTTAAAGGAAGTTACTACAGATTATGTCAAAACATAACCTTTGAGGGTTAAGAAAAGAGAGAAATAAGATTTCTCTAGGGAATTAAAACTTCCTGTTCACTGATTTTCAGCATATTAAATCAAGAGAGTAGCTGTCAGTTTTTGGAATAAAAGGCTTAGGTAAAATTTTATGAAAGGAAGCACAAGCATTTAAAACTTAGGGACTTCACTATGAAGCTCCATTAAACCAGTTTATAAACTTCTGCAACAGGAAAATGTTTGGTTACATTAAAGCCCGTCTCTAAGAAACACACATTCCCACTTACTACATCTCGATAAACCTGTCACTCATGGCAAAAATGTGACCAGCTACGTCTGTCAGCACAGTCCTCTACCCTCCCTGAGAAGCCTATGACAGCCAGTGCAAGAACACACATCCCCTGACTGACTCTGAAGGAGGCTACAATCACTGTTAACAGACATCAGCAAAGAAAACTGCTACACACAGGAAGTAATAAGGTACATAAAAAGTGCTTACAACTGTTGTTTTACAAGCCACAAGTCTTTATTTATTCTTTACCAAATAACCTAATTTTTGAGTAATGTTGGGGGTGATTACCTAAGAAAAATTAAATGTGAAGACAAGTTTCTTTTATTTTTAGCTGAAAGTGTCACTCCTGATAAACCAGCATCTCTTAACTGCTACTTTGAGTTTACCCTAAACTTTCATCACAAAATCACAAGTGTTTTATTCAGTGACTGCTAAAATCACCTTAAAGTTCTCTAAATACCCTGGAAATCAACACCACTATTTTGTTCTTGTACCAGTCTTCACATTATGTTCTATCATGACCAGTAAGTCTGCCCCGCCCCTCCACCCCTAAATCTTTATCAGAGGTTAAAGCTGCAGTGTTCGTTGAACAGTGATAAAAAACAAATTCATGAAAAAAAAATACTTTAAAATGATACTTTAGAAAAAAGCCTCAAGTCTGTATTAATATTCATTAAAAATAGAAGGAAACGTAAATAATCCAGGGCAGAGCTTGCTAAAGCAGGGTGATGCTTAGCTAGCCGTCCCTACCACTCGCGGTGTGGACAGCTGTGTGAGCACACTCATCCGGCAGCTCAGTCCACCCACTGCTCCTTTCCACAGGAGCCCTGTTACCCATTTCTCGCTTGCCATCAGCAATGTTGATTCCTATGAAAGGCAAAGTTAACATCTACCTAAAGCTATGCAGTCTAAACAATTGTTATAGCTTAGACCTGGACCAGCAATTATTCCCAGAATAAGCAAGGCAAGAAGTGGTAATTTCACCAAATGCAAAAACCCTAACAATTTTCTGAATCCTGTACTCACATGCTAAGGAATCTAATTTGCTATTTCCTCACCTCACTGATGACCTTCCCGGCCCTTTCTGTTTAAACTACAAACAGCACTTATTGTCACCTCCCCATCTTCCATTAGCCCCACGCCAGAAAAAGAAAGTAAATACACACCTTAAAATCTGTATTATTGATATATTCAAATACCAAAGCTGGTGTCTTTGACTGCAAAAAACAAAACAAAAAAAGAGTATTAATGTTCTTTAAGAATTCAAACAATATGCAATTTGCTTCTATTATATGCAATTTTATTATAGTGGCCCATCCCCAAATCTCATTTAAATGACAAAGAGATTCACTCTTCATGGAGAGCCTATTAAGGAAAACATCCTCTTAACATGTTATGGTATCTAGAATTTGTTTCAAAGTATACTTGTGGATGATGGAGACAGATGAAACAAAGTTGGCGAGGTCTGTTAAATGCTAAAACTGGGTGCTGTGTGCCAGGAGGTTAATTTTTTGTTTACCTTTGAAATGGTTGAAATTTTCCATAATAAAGGTTCTTATTCTGACTAACCCATCAATGAGCCTGGCATGTTATATGATGGTTTGCACTGCACTGTCCCAGTTTGCCAACTATAAAGGAGGCACTTAGCAAGTGCCAGCTGAGTCAGATACAGTTGACTGAGTTATCGCCAAGTCCTGGAAATCTATCATACACTTTTCTCCAGGACCCAAAAGGAAAACATAACATAAAACTACTGTGTTGACTAGAGACCATTAGAGAATATCTCCCCCTACAAAGCAAATGTGTTGTCCGTTCCCCACCGCCACAAAAAAAAAAAAAAAAAAAAAACACCAAGGATTTTCAGTGCACTGTCTTTAATGTAACAAGTACAAAATGTTCAGTATTTCCTTGTCTAAGTCCAGACATTCTAATGTCAGGTTTCCTTTAGTTGAAGGAAATGAATGCTAACTGGCAAAATAAGCTCTCAAAATTGGGAGAAGAGCAAGGCTTAAGTTAAGAGAAAGAAAGGAAAACCGCCTGAAGCCTTTAGAGTTGGGATGGTCAGCTCAAGGAAGCAGGTGAAAATTACTCAGGAAACAGGCCAGTGTTCACACACAGGGCTATGCCAGGACAAACTGCAGTCCCGGTCAAGGGGCTTCACCAGCCCATTGTTCAAAGAGTTTCATCAAGAACATCAATGGTATCAAGCAAACCTGTTCCCCCTACAAGTTAGGGAAAAGGGGGTCCCGTTGGTTTGAATCTACTGTACTTTACTTATCTCACGTATCATATAAAACGCATGTACTTTAAGCAATAAATTACAATATTATTAAGACAGTTATCATTAGGTTCTGTGAATGCAACAACAACAAAAAAGGCACAATGAGACGTTCCTGGTATGATACTGCACACTGCTCATACCGCCAGCCATCTGCAAAGAGTTAGTCATTGAAGAATTAATTTCAAGTCAATTTTTAATACCAGTTAGAAGGAATCTAGCACACAGCATCCTTCTCAATCTTTCAGGATCCAAAAGGAAGGCCTTTCCTTAATTTTCAGCTAGGCAATGCTATACAGCCTTGGGAAAATTAGTCACATCTTGATGGACTTCAGTTTTCTTACTTGTACAATGTGACAGTGTGGACAACAATAGTACCTGCCCCAAGGGGTCGTCATGAGGGTTAGATGACTTGATACAGTTAAACAGTCAAAATAACGTGTCAAGCATGCTAGCCTCTGCATCGTGAGGGTGTCTTAGCAGACATAAGCAAAGACTTAACTTCTTAAAGTTTGATCAGGCAGAATGGGGAGATCTGAGGTAGAACAAGTGGATAACAGAAATGGGGTAGGAAGTGGGAGTCTTCAACCTCAGCTAATCATAAACCCTGGAGGTTAAATTACTCCCCAAGGACAGAAAGTTAAAGGGCACATGTAAAAAGAAGAAAAAGCGTTTTAGCAAAAATATTTTGGTGGTACCTACAAAGTGAGTCCTACCGGCAGGGGCAGTTGTTAGAGACTAGCACTCACGAGAGACAGCAAGGGCAGTATCTGACGGGGCCTCTGGGGAGATGAGGTTGTGCCACCTGCTCAGCTCTAGGCCAGATGTTCATGCAGAGACAGTCAATATTTCCTTGTGCAAACCCAATTTTAAAATACCAGGCTTACTTAAGTGAGGTTAAAGCTAGCAGGCAGTAAAAAATGACTTCAAAATTGGGAGAAAGGCAGGGGGATTTAAAGAGCGATGCATCTAGTTGTTTCTGGGCTAAATCAAAATAAGGAATCCTTTCATTATTTTGTGACCAAGAATCTCATCACCCTCCCCAGGTACTTACCACAGGGTCCTTCACGGTATCAATCAACTTAATAATATTTGTGCCACCACGGAGGTTCTCCAGAATCTTAACCTCTCGTTTTATCTTCTTTTTCTTCACTGGCTTAAATACATAAGAGAAATCAGAGATGAGACTTCTTTTGAAGTTAATAAACAAAACTTTAAAACAATGTTAGCTAATCAAATAAATAATATGCCATTTTGTACACTGTGCTAAAGAGCATGTCTAAATTAGAAGAGAAAAATACTGAGGTAAAGTGGGTCCACCCGTCAGAATCTTAAGGATTAAGTTAAATAATTCACAGACTAAAATAGCTTAGGTCTCAAGCCTTTAAGTAGTTACTTTTAGGGTACTTAAAATTTTGGAACACCCATGTCATACTTTAAAAATAAAATGCTTACTAGATAATTGCCAAATAGAAAATGTTACAGCTTTGAACAGCTGTATATTAGGAACTCACAAATGGAAAAACTGAAACAAAATGAAGAGACACCTGCTCTTCCAATGAGCTACATGTCACTCTGTCTTCCAGGAGTGAAGACCCGTATACTGACATCAAGTCACAAACTTGTTTCCCAGCTGCTGGCTCCCATTTCCTGCCACCACTCCCATTTCCTTAAAACTAGAATCTGAACTCAGCAAAGAGCCAGGACATTTCCCAAATGATCCCATTCTAAAGCAAGAGATACTGGATAAGCCAGAGGTAACCAATCTTTGATACAGTCTAAAATCCCTGCTACCGGCTAACCTTTCAATACATTGGATAGACGAACTAAAAGTGTGAATGCAGCAGTATAGATGCTATTTCTTGTCTTAAATGGGCTAGAGAGTTTGAAGAAGAATACAAGTAGTTCGGGGGGGAGAGGGAGGAAAAAGCACATCAAAATCAGTTATGCTTTAAAAAGCACTTCAGAAGAGTGACTGGCACATTGTAAGCACTCAGTAAATGACAGTTTTTTTACTTTCAAAATCTGAGTTAGGAATAAATCAATTTTATCCATATAGACCTTTTATGTAGTAAAATCAGCTATGCTGAACTTTTTTTTTTTTTTTTTCCCAATGTCACATAGCTAACACTAAAGAGTGGGAGGCAGGATTCAAATCTAAAAAGTCTCACTCTTAGCTACTGTGCTTTCGTTTTCCAAGTGTGGCTATGGTGAGAAACAGCTAAGGAAAAGGAGTATGGCAGCACCGAGGCACTGTTACAACAGCACAAGCAAAGAGAGGCCAGCAGATTTGCTTTTGCTTTGAAAAAAGATTTAAAAAGACTGTTTCTGGGGGTGGTAGGAAGGAGAAGAAAAAAAACATGTACATATGCCAGAGAAACCTTACTCTTTTTGGTCACTAAGTTACAGCTTTGAACACACAATAAACAGAGAAGGAGATTATGAAACGCACAGCACCTGCATCACCTACAACAAGGCGCTCAGCAGACCCTGGAATCTGCCACCGTTATGCCCACTCCCCCGCCAGGGCAGCCAGGAGAGCTGACTTGGCTACTGTGTCTCCTTCTCCATCTCCATATAGGCATCTTACTCTTACTTTCTTCCCTTTTCCATAATTATTGCACAATTTCAATGCTTTGGAAAGACAAAATGCTCAAGCATGACAAAATGCTCAAGCATGAAGCACAATGGGACCAAAAGAGTAAGAGGACAGACTACACAGAATGTCACAGTATCCTTAAACTGAAAAAATGTCAATGTCCTCATACACACAGACTAGATTTAAAAAAATAAGACAACACGTGATGTAGAGTTTTCTTTTTCTATAAAGAACATAAAGACAAATAAGAGCAGGGGCTCTTGACTAGCTAGCAGCACTGACCAAGGCTACTTTTGGGGGGTCTGTCTGGCCAGGTGACAACAGGGCAGCAGAACATGCCTGGTCATGCAGCACCGTGAGGCTGCGTGAGAAGCTGTTTTTAGGAACAGTCCCAGGTAGGGATGGCTGCAATTTCCTCTTAGCTGCTTCAATAAAAAAAGTACAATAAATTATATATGTAGTATTACATAAAAAAGTGAGGAAGGGGCTAAGAGAAAGATAAAATAAATGTTAACCTTTGAGGACACAAAAACATTAATTCAAAAGGACAACTGCATCCCTATGTTTGCTGCAGCACTACTTACAATAGGTAAATCCTGGAAACAATCCAAAGGCCCCAAACTAGATGACTGGATCAAGATGTGTCTATATACACAGTGGAATACTACTCAGCAATCAAAAAAGATAAACACATGCCATTCACAGCAACATGGATGCAGCTGGAAAGGATCATGCTCAGTGAAATAAGTCAGAAGGAAGATGAAATATCAAGTGGTTTCACTTATATATAGGAGAAATTTAAGAGAACAAATAAGACGGGGGGGGGGGAGTGTACTGTTATTACAATACAACAAAACAAAACAAAAACAAGGCAATTATAAACCAGAGAGATCCGAGGATCCGGGGCACAGAGAGGGATCAGAAGGAGGGAGGGATATGGGGGACTATAGTGATGATGGGTGGGCGAAGTTGGGGACGGGGAATGAACATTATTTTAAAATGAGCAATAATGTAAACAGACACATAAATAAAAAATTTTAAATGTTAACCTTTGAGAAACGTGGGTGTAAGATACATGACAATTCTTGCAACTTCTGCAAGTCTAAAATGTCAAAAAGTTAAAACTAAAAGCCAGCTATTATATCTATAAATTCAGCCAATACTACCAGTAGATTCAATATAAGAAGCCTAGGGTTGATAGAAATATTATTATAGGTCTGTGGGAGTGGTAACAGAGGCTTTTTTCAAAGAAAAAAAGGTAAAAAAAAAGCCAGAAGTCTGTATGCACCCAAAACCCTCTTCTCCTAACAGTGAGACACTACCAGGGGTAACCTAGTGAGCTCTTTATGACACGGTGCCTTATAAAGCCTCGCTTTGCTCCCCTGCTACACAGCAACAGGTCAATCAAGCCCATTGTTCCAGTTAAAGCTGCGAGGTCTCTCATCACGTCTAAAGGTAGCTTAAGGAGCCAACGGGAAGCATATTTTGCTGCCTGATCATACCTGGCCAAAGTCCCAAACTAGAGACTTGGGAAAGCAGAACAATTTGAAGTGACAGGACAACGAGTGATGCAGTAGCTGGAGCCCTTATGGACTGACAAAAAAACAAGACACTGAGATTAAGGAAAGGGGCCTCAGACCAGGACGCTCCTTTTATTCCACCACCTGTCGGCCTTAGTGTATTCCTTTGAAGTTGGAAGACACTCCAGGAGCTACCCAAAGAGTTCTCAGGGAGTGAAAACGATCATTTCAATGGTCACAAAAAGTATCAGAGAGAAATTTGGGAGGACCCTTAGGAAGCTGATGAAAACAGATCATGGCTTTTAAAGGAATAAGGATGCTCTGACCACCCAGACCAGCATTTACACCAGCCACCAATTAAAGTAGAGAAATTATACTTATTTCCATGCAAGCAAGAAAATCACCCTCAGCTAAGGCTCGTTTATTCTAATCTAGAGAATGTGTTTAAAAGATTCTATCAGTTTAGCTGTTTACCAATTTTTTAAAAAGTCAATCTTATAGATGAAATGGAAAAAGCTAAAAAACAACAATCCCCAAAATCAGAAACAAGAAATATTTACTGATGGGCTACTTGGAAAGATGGAGTACTAGTGATAAAGTACTAATCTGTTCTATTTATTTACTCAAACACTAAAAAAAAAAAAGCCAGATCTAAGAATGATTTCAACTACGAACATTTAATTGTAACTGAATTTGCAAACTAACTTCTACCAAAGGCATGAGCTTACAACCTCAATAAATCACAGCAAATATTAACAGGAAAAGTACCATTAATATTTTCTCCCCAAGCACAACTGTATTGATAATCCAGACAGGCAAGAAGACAAGAATATGGCTCAGAACTTTCAAATATGAGATTACTTTGATTCCATTACCCAAACCATGATTGCTTCACTAAGAAGCTGATTTCATCACCAGCAACAAATGACGACAATAATGGCTGTGAAGCACATAGGGAAGAGTAGGAAAGAAAGCTCAGCCCGGGCTAGGGCATCTACGTTCCTACCTTGCTTAGCTCTGAAATCCACAGCAACTGACCTAAATATAAACATCAGTGCAAATTTTATTTCTTCACCACAACTCTCCCTCTAATCTTCTAAGTCTCAACTTTCCAACTGCACTGTCAAATTCTTGAAGGCAGCAGTTAATTCTCAGCAGTTAATTCTTTTTTCTTTTTTTTTTTTAAATTTAAAAAGGGGAAGTAAGTAGCCTCTCTTAAATCTCATAAGAGAAAGTAAGTGTTCTTCCTACTATTGGCTCTGGCCTCTAACATCACCTATTTGGACCAACTGAAATAGTCTGAACTACATTTTATTGCCTTCTAAGTGCCAGGCACGGATGGTAATGTCTTTAGTCCACATTTTATAGTATTCTGACACAGGAACTAGTTTTATGCCAGGACAGAGGCAGGCATTTAAATAACTGCTCATAGAGTTGAAATTAACATCCGAAGCCAGGCAGCGCAATTTCAGGACGACATTCTCTCAGGGAAAAAAACCATTTTGCAGATGACTAACACACTTTCATCCACTTGCCTACTGTCTATTTCTAGCTCACTGATTCCCCGACCACTTCTGGAGTCAAGAAGAAAAGTAAACCCATTTTACAGATGAGAAAACCAAGTGAGTATAAATGGACACACTGATTCTAGAACCCAAGGCTTCTGCCCTCTACACACAGCACTTCTCATATTGTTAACACCCTAATTATGAGGTGACAGACCCTACAATTCAGCTTCAATTAGCTTCTGTGGCCTATCTCTACACATGAAAATAGGTACTCTACCAAAATATTCTTTTCAAACATGGGTGACTCTCCAATAAACAAACACAGGAAAAGGATAAAAGTGTTAAACCAGAAATCTGACCAAGCAATCGTGATGAGACTTGAATAAACTGTATGGATTAAAAAAGTATAAAAATGCTAGTTACCTCAAACCAGGAAACTAAAGTAACATCTTCCTTATGTGTTAAACAGGTTGCTGTGAATACAAATCAAAGTCTGAGTTCCAACAACTCTGTGGACTGTCAGATATTCCAGATTTCAACTAGCAACTCAAGTTAATTTCATCTGACTTGTAATGAGTGTCAATCCTGCTAGGCCAGTGCTGGCCATCAGGTCAGCCAGCCAGCAAATGTCCTAACTGCTCCCCACATCAATCTTCTTCCATCAAGAAGGGCCTAAGCCTAGTGTCTCCACCTGCTATCTGTGCACCTCTGAGCAGCCACTGGATAGAATGCTCTCATAGGGTCTTTTGGGTTTGGCTGTAAAAGAGGTATTTCACTTCTAAAGACTTCTATGCTCGTATACTCTGCAATTCTGTTTCACATAGGTTAACCACATTTTCAATCTCCGTCCCCACAACCACAGTATTAGAAATAGTACTAATAACTTAGTTCACACATGGTTTTTAAAATTTATGTTATTGTTAATACTTGTGTATTTTTATTTATATATGGATACAAGAACTGGGGTATAGGCCAGAGGTGTGGGGTGAGAGGATTCACCAGAGACAGAGTGGGGAGCTAAATAGATAGATCTACTGAAATACACTGCTGAGGGAGGGAACCAGTGAAACAGGAGAGGTCTGCTGTGCCATGAGAGTCACTTCGCCAGTCCGGGATCGAGCTCAAGCTCAAGCTGCAGTGGTTGCGGAGTTTCATAGTGCTGTGCTCTAATCTGCTGCACCACCAGGGTGGCCCATAGTGTTTTTCATTTTTATACCCTTAAGGCATCTGGGGAAACTAGAATTCACATCAATTGAAGCAAATTAATACTACTGTCTAGCTTCAGGAAGGTGATGTCTTTCTTAGCACACATGGCTAAGTAAGTAAACAGAGGGTAAAATGCCCACCAGCTGAGAAAGGAGAAATAAAGGAGGAATCATCCTTGTGATAAAATCCAACAGTCATAGGCTCACTATCTACTAACAAGGAACTATAATCAGCAGTCAAATGATCCCTCCTTTAATACTATCTTCTGACAGCACAAAACATTTTAACTATCTACAAGTATACTAAACATGCTTAAAAAACAAAGTTGTATTACCATTACTCTTTGTGCTAAGCTTGAAAATTACTTTCTGAGGAAAAAAAAGGACATCCAGGTTCTTTAAACCGAGACTATCACCAGTAAGCCTTGGATGAGAATTTTATGAATTTTATGAACACAGGTTCATAAAACTAGAAGTTTGTTTTTTCTTTTTTAAATACAATATTGTCCTTAACTTCTATTTAGGAAATAGTAGTTTAATATGAAGATTTCCAAGGCCGCAGAAGGTGGTTGAAATCCACACATAGGTGGTATGCAAATTATGCTGAATGTTGTCCAAATGGCCAAATTCTTTTATTTCTGTGTACACTCTCAGAAGAGGTAGTACAGAGGAACTGAAAGTTGATTTTCAAAATCAAAAGATGAAAAAGAAACTTCAGGCACTAAAGTGACTTTCTGTCCTGCTATATTAAACTTTATCATTCCCCCCTTTCTTTTCCGCTCAAAACAGTTTCTGTCAAAAAAGATAAAACCAGGCCCTCCCTGGTGGTGTGACAAGTTAAAGCACAGCACTCTGAACCTATCACAGCCACTGCAGCATGAGTTCGAGACCAGGCCAGGGAGCTGACCCATCTGCTGCTCCCCTCAGCAGTGTATTTCAGCACATCTGCCTGTTCTGCTTCCCACTGTCGCTGGTGAATCCTCTCACCACCCATCCACCCACCCCCACCTATGGCCTGTACCCTAGTTCTATATGCATAAAAATAAATGTTAAGAAAAAAATTATTAAAAAAAAGAAAACCTCCCTACTGACAGGAAAGCTCTATGACTTTGGCCTCAGGATTTTACTTCCCAACAGACAATAAAATTTTGCTCACAATTTGTTTTTTATAATATAATAGTTTATTTTTACATCATTTTGTGCCTTTTTCCATCTCAGTTGTAATCCCCATGGGCTTCCTTCCCATCACCAAATCACTCGTGTGCTATCACCATAGTTTGCTCACAATTATTAAATTCCTACAACTTAATAACCCCAAATGTTTTCTGATCAATAAAGTACTTCCAAATCTGGGTAAATTAATTGATATGAAATTCTTATGGTCATTCATCTTACCTAATAATGTCCATATACTAGAAAAGATTGAGTGAAAATGTTACTAACCAAAAAGAAAGACAGCTCCTGTCTCCAAGGACTAAACTCTCTATATTGATCACTTCCAAATTAATGCACAAGTTCCTTTCTGCTGCTCAAAGTAGCCCTATAGGAAGCTTCTTTTAGATTCCTTCAAATCACGAATTGCTGGTACTCTGCTAAGAACCTAATTTCCTATGACCAAATATCACAATAGCAGATATTAATCATAAGTAGGGGAGCACAAATCTGGGTGAAGACTTACTGCTTTAAAAAATAAGAGACTTTTCATCTACTTTAATTCATTCTGTCAAAACAAAGAGAAAACCACAACAATGCCATTAATAGTTTCTTGCCCCAATCTTTAGACAGGAACAAATTTTTGATGAAAATGCCACAGGGCTTTAAAAAACAGAAAGGAATGACTTTTCATCGCTGGAAATGAGGTGGTTCCGGCTGCTCCCTGAAAGGAACTCGTGTCAAAGAAATAACACTTCAGTAACTCGAGCATCAAAGGGGCACCCCAAGTCTTATTTCAGAGCACTAGATCATACCCTGTGCTCAAACAGAATCTTATAAGCCAATGCTAAAATAAGTGGTAAGAGACAGGAAGAAATAGGAGCTCTGGCTGAGGAGCAATTCCCCAGGATAGTAGACATGTTAGACAAATTTCTTTGTGTCTATGTTTCTCATTTGTAAAAATAACCTACAGTGTCCATAATCAGTGCCCTAAACAAAACCTGTGACTCTCTGGAGCAGAAGAAAAACCATTCAGCAATGGAATCTATGAAGTTCTCTAGGAAACCAAAGAGCAACGTGATGCTTTCCTAAAAACGACCATGTTGCTACATACACCTGAATGCTGTTCCTTTCGATGACACCACAGGAAGTCGCACACTTCTACAAATGTTGCCACTCCACAAAAGTTTAGGCCTTTTTCTGGAACTGCTTTCAACTCAACAATTCAGTCTTGTGAATGCACAGTGGTAGAACATGGACATTCCCAATTTCAATTTCCTAGAAATACTTAGCAGTTTATATTAAAAACATTTATGTTTTCATATATAAAAGAAAGAATTGTATGGCTTCCCAGGTGACTTCTCTTGAAAGGAACATTTCTTTAAGTATTTATGCTTATTAAGAAAAAAAAAAAGACCGCATGACTTTTGAAGATACAATTTGTATTTAGAGAAGCGGGGAGTCAAACTTCACATCTTCAACATAATTCCTCATATCTCATTCTCATGTGCTTCTAACAGCACAAACAACTGTGCCTGTTGCTATAGCAATTCTACTTCATCACCAGGCCAGAGTGGATCACTTTTTCAAAATGCAACTTTCTGACAGTGTACACCTGACTCCTCATGTTAAGCTTGGAAACAGAGGGCCTGATTCCAAACTCAAGATAAGACGAAGCTTCTCAACACATTCTTATTCACAGAACTTCTACAGACTGGCCACATCCATGTAAGTCAATGTGTTTGTATCATCCTTTGGTCTTTTTAACCTTCCCTAAAGGACAAGCACACACATTAAATGTCCTGGCAATGACAAAGACCCTAAAAAGAGCCTAAGAATTACCTTTTAGTACACGCTACACAACACTGTTAAAGCTACACAACTAGTTAGTTACCTGAAGGAGAATTCAGTCAAGTCTTTACGCTCATTAAGATCATGTTTTCATGCAACAGATGACAAAAGATGTATTATGAACAAACTTAGGCCGCTAAACCAGTTTTAGACGATTAAGTCACTTTTGTTCCGATTAGTTCAGTGATTGAGTATATTCCTCTCCTGTTCCTAATTTCACTTGTACTAGCTGATAATCCAACAACAAATCTTGCCAGCGCTAATGGTTCACTATATCCATCTCACCTGAAACTTTTATTCGCCCAAGTAGAAACAAATGGTATTGACTGTGTTCCCTTCCACCTGGACTTCAAACTCATCCTCGAAGCTATTCCACTTTTTCCCCAACTGTATGGAATAACATGGACCGCTAACAGTACTCAAGAATCCCTCAGACTGATGGGATCTTCAAGAAAAGGCTTTTCTTTTTCTGGAAACCTACTCGTTGTCCCTTTGAAACTCATTAATTTCATTTTAGAAGAGGGATGTTCCTGAACTATCATCCTTAGAATTGAAAGAGGTCTGCCTATTTTCTTGAAAGTTCACAGGAAACTGGGGTAGAGGAAGTGATGGAGGAATGTGAGACAGAAGATCACAAAAAGAGCTTATTCTGTTCATTCTAGAATGTGGCTGGGATCATTTATTTAATTCTTCTGACCTGTAGGAAAAAATTTAACGCCACTCAAAAGACACTCACCTTGAGAATTTTTACCACCACTCTCTCATTGTTAGTGATGTTAATGGCCTCAAATACTTCACTATACTTTCCCCGACCAAGTTTTCGAACCAGTTGGTAATCATCTTGATTACTGTGAAAGGAAAGCGGGAGACATAAATGCCAGGACTCCGGATTAACCAAGTCTATGCCCACGAAACATCCCCATGCAGCCACTGTATTAATCAAGCACTTGGAAGCATCTATACATCACGCCACAACTCATTCCCTAAATGAAAGCGCGACCATAACTTGGCTCCCTTCGCTCTGCAGAACTCCTCACCTAATTGGTTCCTCAGAACCTGGGGAGATGCGGTAGAAGGGACCGCTCTGAGCCAATCTGGAGGGGTGAGCCCCGCATCCAGCATCCAGCGTGGAGATTGAGAGGTGCCCCTCTGCCCAGAGCTCCTCAGCACCTGCCTGATTTCACACCCTGAAGGTAGACAGAGCCTGCTTGGAGAATCAGGATGTCTTAAAAAAATTGCCTCCCACCCAGTCTCATTTCAAAAGACTAAAAAGGCAGGGAATTTTAATAGCTCAAGAGGCCAGCTGTTGACTTCCCACCCCAGGAAAAACCCAAGAGTAAGGAGGAAGGGCTGCTTCCTCGCTTCCACCAAGCTCTGGGCCCTGGCCCCACACCTTCTGCCCCCAAAGAAAGCATTCCGTGGGGTAAAGGGGGAGTGGGGTGCGCAAAGCGAGGAAAGAGGGAAGAGAATGGGGGAGAGGGAGGCGAAGACATGTGCGAGACGGGGTACTCCTCCCACCCGAGACCCGAAAGCGCCAGCCCCGCTGAGAGACCCACAGGGGAACCCGTGCGGTTTGCGCTGGGGGGCAGCGGGCGGGCGAGGGGGGGGCGGTCAGCGGGTCCACGGGGTGCGGCGGTGGCTTTACCCCCAGCTCGGGACGTGAGACTCGTAGTCCCAATATTCGCGGCTCCTCAGGCTGTTCACCTCGGCGTAGACCCGGGCCCTGCTGCCCGCGGCCGGGCCGGGCATGGCGGGCGGGAC